AAACACCGTGTTCTCGTCTGATCACCGAAGTTAAAGCTTACAAACATTTCAATTTAGAATTATTGTAAAACTTTACTAAAAAATGCTCAAATGAATTAAATGAAAAAACAAAAATTGTGGCCTTTTTTATAAATTGAAACATTGTTACAAGTTTCCACTTTACGAATTGAGAATCACCCATACTCTTTCAGCTTACGACCATATCACGTAGAAAAAACTGGTTCTCGTCTGATCACCAAAGTCAAACTACGTCGAGCCGAGTTAGTACTTGGGAGGGGAACCACTTGGGAACACTCGGTGTCGTAAGCTTTTTCATTTTTTAATTTTTAGACATCTTTTTGCTATTTTGAACAAAAAAATTATTATGTTTCACGGTTAAATTAACTTTTTAATGATAATTGTTTGTCGAATGTGAATTGATTAATTTGAAATCATTTACAATGGGCGATTTCAAATCGGTGGGAAGTAATTTTCGTTTAGCTATATTCATCAAATTGTTAATGGGCGTTTCAAACAATATGGTGAATATAAAACCAACAATATAGGAAATGGTTAGAATTGAAACACAATGATATAAGATTTCAATAAGATTTCGTCGTGATCTATGATCAATATAGATAACTAGAAAATGTGTTAAATACACTGAATATATAATCCTCGATAATGGTCGAATAGCTGGCCAACTTAGCAATTGCTTAAGAATCGATTGACGTCCATTATTGATACAGATGAATAGTATGACCGTTAAAATCAATGCCCAAAAGATATGATTTAATGGCCAAAGTATTGCCGACCAAATCGGATTGAATGGTCGGCCATAAAATCCAAATAGATGTGGGGCATGTGCTCAAAAACACAATAGAAGATGTCTTTTTGAAATCACTTTTTTTAATCATTATTCTCTTATATTTGTTGCTTGTATGACAACTTCCTATAAGTTTATAATATGAATTTCATATATTACGAACAAAAAAAGTTGTCACACATGTTACCTTGACCTTTATTTATCATTAATTGGATGAATGATACGATTTTTGATGGTAACGGATTGAAATTTTGAAAAAAATGAAAAAGCTTACGACACCGAGTGTTCCCAAGTGGTTCCCCTCCCAAGTACTAACTCGGCTCGACGTAGTTTGACTTCGGTGATCAGACGAGAACCGGTTTTTTCTACGTGATATGGTCGTAAGCTGAAAGGATAGAGGTGATTCTCAATTCGTAAAGTGGAAACTTGTAACAATATTTCAATGATAAAAAGGCCACAATTTTTGTTTTTTCATTTAATTCATTTGAGCATTTTTCAGTAAATTTTTACAATAATTCTAAATTAAAACTCGGTAATCAGACAAGAACAGCTTCCAACAAAATTTAACCATACATAGAATAACATTCTTATGTAAAAATCAAGTATATCGTATGAAATTTGGAGGAAATTTTACAATCAACGAACAACCGTTTGTCTTCGATAAATTACGTAACAATTTTCAATATTATATTCCTGAAGAATTAAATGAGATTATCAACGTTAAAGCATTTAATTCATTTAATTCCTCAATGAATCTACAAGATCTTTCTTCTGTCGTAAAAGAGGAAAAACAATTAATTAAACAACTGGTGATAAAATTTTTCAAAACCTATGTAATCCATATAATTTTTTTTTATAATAATTGTTTTGTTAATAGTAACTTAAAGAGTAGAAATGATTATCCTATGTACATACTAACAAATAAAACACAGGAAATACTTGCGTGTTGCTCGTGTGCAATATCATTTGGCGGTATTAAGATAATCAACGAAATTCGAAAAAAAAACAACCAAAATATTAACATACAATAATAATAAAAAAAAATTCTTTTTCCTTTTTCCCTAAACATTGTTAAAATCAGAATGATTATACCCAGGGCCGGCCGAGGCGCCTGTGCAGACTGTGCACCGCACAAGGCCTCGCGCTGCCTTCGCCCTTTCCGCTGTACAACACAGGGCCTCGCGGCTCCAACTTTTCAAGCTATTTTTGCACAAGGCTTCGCGATTTTCTCGGCCGGCCCTGATTATACCTCTACTTTCTACACAGAAAAAAATCCCTCCGGAAAAAGAGGGCAAACTTTGTGTAAACAGAGAATGCGCGTGGGCTTAGCGGTACACAGATGACGTTATGACAAGTGGATAAAAGGACAGCGCTCACCCCTTTGGCGATCATTTTATTATTTTTTGTTGTTTGATGCACATATCATATTTTATGTTCACTTATGTTCACATTTGTATACAAACATATATGTTTTCTTTTATTTTATTATGAATTTTTCCTTTGTTTTACTTCTCCCATGCTCACAATGATTTTTGTGGAAAAAAATCAACTTTTAGAAATTCTAAAATGAAAAAAAAAATTCGACATGATTTTTGAATAATAATTTCTCGTCTTTCAGCATCAACCGGCGGTATCGAATTTATCTTGAATACAAAAATCGAATTATTGAATCTATGCTGGATAGTTCTCATTTGTGATTTTGTCGTCCGAACGTTTGTGAATACAAACATTTATGAACACCAAAATATCCGTCTTTATGGAAAGAAAATGATTCAAATTAAAATATTGACTGTCCTTCCGTTCGGTGTTATTATGAATAAAATCGTTTCAATTAGAAGCAACGAATCTTTGCAATCTACTTTCTGGTGTTACGTATATGGACGATCTCTTATCCGAATAGCTCACAATGATTTTGTGATATGCTCCAATGGGAAAAATCAACTTTTAGAAATTCGTATCTTTGAATTATTGAAATAAAAATCGTTTCGACATGATTTTTGTTAAAAAATCGAATTATTGAATCCATGCTGGATAGTTCTCATTTGTGATTTTGTCGTCCGAACGTTTGTGAATTTAAAAAATAATGGCTCACTTATGTTCACATTTGTATACAAACATATATGTTTTCTTTTATTTTATTATGAATTTTTCCTTTGTTTTCACTTCTCCCATGCTCACAATGATTTTCGTGGAAAAAAAATCAACTTTTAGAAATTCTGAAATGAAAAAAAAAATTCGACATGATTTTTTGTTTAAAAAAAAAATCGAATTATTGAATCCATGCTGGATAGTTCTCATTTGTGATTTTGTCATCCGAACGTTTGTGAATTTAAAAAAAAATAATGGCTCAAAAAAATTGATTTTGATTTTGTTCTGCCTTATTATTCGTATCCATGGATATTTTTACAAGATAAAATTCTTTTCTCCGATGTATGGAAACGAAAATTTATTGCAAGAATATCGACAAGAATATGGATTGAAACGAAAGTTTCTTTACGCGGTCCTATAAATAATATCAAAAGATTATGTCAAGATATAATCGTTCAAAAGAACTATGGTATTGAAAAATTAATTTCATTTTATGGAATTATTACCAAGAAGGATGGTGATATAAATCAAATGGTTATCGAGGCGCGTAAAATCATTAAACGCGAAGCTGAATTTGACAAATTCAAATACTTTGAAAAGATAATCGATCAGATAAAATGGAATAACACCGTTAATCTTAATAAGATCCTTCGTTACGAATTTGATTGTGATAAGGATGAATTTATGTTAATTGATAAATGCCAATATCTTGGTAATAATGAAATATTTTTAGAACTTAAAAAATCATCAATTCCTAAGAATTTGGTCACATTATTGGACAAGAACCCATCACCGGGTAAAAAGTTGAATAAGAAAATTTTATTTCCAAATATCCGTGCTTGTTATTTCTTAAAACTCTTCTACATCGAATTTGAAAACCAATTGTATGCTCCCAAAAATATTTTTCCAAACAAAGGAAGCAACAATGTTATCAGATAGCATATTAAATTCTAATGATGGAGATGAAAATATTTTTGATTGGAATGAATTAATTAAGGAATTGATTTCAGAAATCAAAAAAAAATTATGAAATCAAATACCGAAGAAATAAAAGTTGAAATGGTAGCCGAAAGAAAAATCATTATCAACAATGATGAACGTATCGGTTTTTGGGGAATAATTTTAGACATCATCATCAATTTATTGGCAACCATACCGTTTTTCATAATGGGAAAATTTTATAAATTTATTGGTAAAAATAAAGAAGAGATAATGGAGGCGGATATAAATGAACAAAAACGTAATGATGACCCGTTGGTAATTTTGGAAATTAAAGAAGAAGAGTCCTTACAAAATTTGAATATTTCTCAAATTCAAGAAGTTGAAATTCATGAAAATTTATGTTTAGAATCTAAAATGAGTTTCCATTCCCTTTATTCTTTCTTTTTTCTTTTCTTTCCTATTCTTCCGTCTTAAAGTGGGGGGATGCAATATCCAATGTCCTCTCATGAACTTTTGTCCCAATTTTTAATTGTGAAATCATTTCACAATCTTTCTGAATGTATTATTTCTTTCCTAATTTAAACTCATTCATTCATTTCATATTTAATTTCTTGTCCACTAAATTTTCAATAAAATAATTTTTTTTATTTACGTGTAACGTCTTAAATCATTTACTCCAAATTCAATTGTAAAAAGTTGATCGTTAATGCTCTACCAGCTTAGGTATCTTCCAATATTAACGTCTGTCTAATTCTCTGGCCATATTATCATTCAAACGATTGATTAATTTTGCTGAAACTTTCGACCATTGCAGTAAAAATAATTTACGGTAGATCCATGCTAGAGATTGTTTTTATTACAAATATTTCAATGATAAAAAAGGCCACAATTTTTTTGAGCATTTTTTCAGTAAATTGTTACAATAATTCTAAATTGAAATTCGGTGATCAGACGAGGACCGGTGTTTTCAACGTGATATGGTTGTAAGCTGAAAAAACATCCTTGATTTTCAATTCATAAAGTGGAAATTTTTTTTTGCACAATTCATTATTTCACAAAAATAACCTGATTTAAATTTTCAATAAAAATAAACCCACTTATGACATCTAGTGGACATAATTTTTGGAAAAAAAAACAATGCCAAGTTACAAGACACATTGCTATCGATGGTCAACAATCGATTACTTCATGTGATGAAATATTCAAGACATGCTATTGGTTTTGATTTTATTTTTGTTTTGAATTTTTAATTAACCAGATGTAAATGAATCATTGAAAATAACGTTAGAGAAAATAATGTCACAATCTTCTAAAAGTGGCAATCAAGCCACATCATTTGCATCATTATCGGATATATTGGCCAATTCATCATCGACTAAACGTACAACACGTAGTAGCATTCGTGCATCTACAGCTGCTACTTCAGGTGTATCCTTATTGCCGACACTTGAAGATTTGAGACAAAAACTTGATGGTGTCCATGATGATTCTGGTATGAAGTTAAATCTTTCACGTGCATTCGGTGGTCTACCATCGTCATTTTGTTTCGATTCAAATGATCAATCATCATCATTACTGGCATCGACATCGAATGATCATCAAGAATTTTATAATAATATTAATAATAACCTGAATACTGGACGACAAAAACGGCAGCAATTGAAACGTGAACACCGAGGATCGCAAAATGCATTCAAAACCGAAGCTGGTAGTTGCACAAGTGTTTACAATGATACAGAACGTGAAATCACTCATATAATCAGACAGATTGAATTGACTAAAAATCTCAATTTTAAGGATGATGATCCCGATGATAAAGATCGAGTTCATCAGGATCGGTTACTACCTGAATTCAATCTTATACAATTACCTGTTGATTTTAATCTTGATCATGGCCAAATAAATGTTTATCAATCAGGAATAATTGAAATTGTCAGTGGTGATCAAACACCTGTTAAATTTCAAATGCGCCGTGCTACGAAACAAATAGATAATCCATTGACAACTGATTTAATTTTAACCACCGAAAATCAAGTAATTATTGAACGAATGAATGTATGTGTACCTGAAACTGTTCCTAATGATTTGGATAAATCAACGAAATGATAATGATTAAATTTGAATTGAAATCTTTGATTTTTTTCTTTTTAATTCGGATCCATCATTTATGAACGGTACTCACGTGTTATTATTTTCAACATATTGTCTGTTTGTATTGTATTTGTACAGTTTTGTAATTTTTTTTTTAAATCTGTTCATTTCTTTAACTTCTTCATCATATATAGAATTGATATCATTAAATTAAATGTTATAATAATAATAATAATAAAATTATTTAAAATGCAAATACGACCATTATCATTATCGATGAGGATTTACTTTCGTCTATCATCATCAATGCGAGCAGCATTAACAAAATCATATTCTACAAAATTTAAAAATGACATTGAGAATCATCATCAACAGGACCAGATTACTGCCGAATCAATTGTTGAAAGAATAAAAAATTATTCACAACTTAAACAAGGTAAAGAATTTCGGATAAGGCCACCCATTGTAACCATAATGGGTCATGTTGATCATGGTAAAACAACATTACTTGATTCGATTCGTAAATCCGAACTAGTCAAACAAGAACATGGTGGTATTACGCAACATATCGGTGCATTTGTTGTATCCCTTCAAGATGATAAAAATATACGACAAAGTAGAATCGAAGATCTGGTTGTCTTTCTTGATACACCAGGTCATAAAGCGTTTAGTTCGATGCGTGAACGTGGTGCATTAGTAACCGATATTATTGTATTGGTCGTTGCGGCAGATGATGGTGTTATGGAACAAACAATCGAATCGATATCTTTTGCACAGAAATCACAAGTTCCCATTATCGTTGCCATTAATAAAATTGATAAAATTCAAAATAATCCAGATTTAATTGAAAATGTCAAATTTGGTCTAAAATCACAAGGTATCGTTCTTGAAGAAGATGGTGGTGATATTCAATCGATCAAAATAAGTGCACTTAAAGGTGAAGGTATCTATGAATTGAAAGAAGCAATCATTGCATTAGCAGAAACATTAGAACTACGAGCACCGATTGATGGAAATGTTGAAGGTTCAATCATCGAATCCAGTATCCATCCACATCGTGGCCGTTTGACAACCATTCTCGTTCAACAAGGAACATTAAAACGAAGTGATATTCTAATCAGTACAAATAGCCGTAATGGTAATGTTAGCTGGGCAAAAGTTCGTGCTATGTTTGATGAATATGGTCAAGTAATCAATGAAGTTCAGCCTGGATTTTCGGCTCAGGTTATCGGATGGCGTGATGATACATTACCCGATGCCGGTGATCAGGTTTGGCAATTCAATTCGGAAAAACAAGTACGAGATATATTAGGAATGAGTAAAGAACTAGAACGACAAATTCGATTATCAATCGATGCAAAAGCTATCGAACAAAAACGTGAAGAACATGATACTGTTTATAAGACAGAATTGGCTGCTCGGCGTGAAGCCGGTATCCGTTATAAACGTAAACGTTCATCGATTCCACGTACGAAATTAATTCAAACTGAAGGTGATGAATTTAAAACAAGTATTGTATTGAAAGCTGATGTTAACGGTAGTCTAGAAGTTCTATTGGATTTATTTGATTCATATCCAAATGAAACAAGTCCAGCTAAATTAAATCTAATCCATTATGGTCTTGGTAATGTAACCGAAAATGATATTGAATTAGCATCATGTTTTCCAAATGGAATGATCTATACATTCAATGTAGGTGTATTTACACCGGCCCTTTTAAAACATGCAAAAGAATTAAATATTCCTATTAAACGTTTCAATGTGATTTATCATCTTGTTGATCATCTTAAAGAAACTTTACAAGAACGAATGCCATTCGTTGATAAAGAAGAAATTCTTGGCGAAGCAATTGTCATACAAGAATTTGTTGTCAATGATAAAAAGAAAAAAGTTCCCGTAGCTGGATCAAGATGTTCAAAAGGAATATTGAAAAAGAATGCCTTATATAAATTGATTCGAAATGGACATATTATAGCTAAAGATTTAAAATTATCATCAATGCGTCATCATAAAGACGAAGTGGATACGATTAAAAAAGATTTCGATTGTGGTCTAATGATTGCCGACAATATTATTTCGAATAAAAGCGGTCAAGTTATTCGATTTCAATCACAAGATTTACTCATCTGTTATCAGCTAGTGAATGTTCATCTTCCATTACAATGGAAACCGAAAGGATTTTAGCCAACTCATTGTCAATCTTTTTTTTCCCCTGTTTATTCAATGTTTTTTTTTCATTTCTTTAGGTTTTTTTCTTTCTTTCATTGTTGAATTTTTTTTTACTACTTATTATTATTTTTTTTGGAAATAAACTCTTAGTCGACATTTGAACATAATCATATAATTTAGTTTATTTATCAATCAATCAATTGGCTTTAAAGTTTGAGTGAAAATGGAAAAAATGTCCAACTTGTTTTTTATTCAATTATTATCTTTGATTTTTTTGATTTTATTCATTCATTCCATTGATTCCAACCATGTTGGAACTTGTCTTCATACGAAAAATCATTTACGAATTCCAGTGCCAAACATATCGTTGTATGAAGAGGTAATGGTTCTTTTTTAATAAATTGAAGTTACCATAATTTTATTAAATTTTTTTTTTTAAAATAAATTTTCAGTGTTCACCATGGTCAGAAAATTCTTGCTGTGATCGTCAAACATCGATTCTTTCACATCAAATGTTGAATCAATTTAATTTTAATCTTTCTCATTGTGGGCTGAATTCCATATCGGCTGGTTGTCTTCGATATTTTATCAAAGATCTTTGTTATTATAATTGTGATCCATATATTGAACCATGGATTGTGAAAATTGATTCAAAATTTGGTCCTGAAGATTATGAACAAGAACGAATCGTACAGGTACCATTATGTGAAAGTGATTGTATTGAATGGTGGAATCAATGTTCAGAATCATCGTTGACATGTGTCCGAAATTGGCGTAAACATTTTGAATGGAATGAGATAGATGCTGATTCAATGATTACAAATCATTGTCCAAATGGTGCTCAATGTATACCGTTTAAATTTGTATATAAAGATGCATATGATTTTTGTCAAACTGTTTGGGATAATCGTTGGAAAGTTGTACAAGATACAGAACAATGTATAACCTTTGAATTTGGTGACGGTAATCAATCGAATCCTAATCGATTGGTTGCTGAATATTACCTGAATGAACATTTGAAATTATTGTTTCACATTGATCTAATACCATTGTTTATGGAATTGTTTATTTTTGTCATATTTGTCTATTTTATTGTCACATTTATCGTGAAAATTTGTAAACGTCGTTAACATGATCGTTTATTTGATGATTCAAAATCTAATAAAAAATATGATGAAAATTGTGTGATTTAAATTTTTTCGATCACTTTATTTATTAGCGACCCATTAGTCTTCGAAGCAAAACAGACATCGCAACGTGGTGCACAATTTGTTGATTTGATCTTTATAACGTCGAAAATTCGGTCCAAAATCTTTTTTAATAGCTCGATCCAATCATGAGTGTTCTTGATAAAATTACGGCCATCGAAGCCGAGGTAAGTGACGCATTTAACAATAAGCAAAATTCTCAAAATTGAATAATTAGATGGCCAGAACACAACGAAACAAAGCGACGATGGGACATTTGGGTATTCTTAAAGCTCGTTTAGCTAAACTTCGACGTGAACTAATTACTCCTAAAGGTGGTGGAGGTGCTACTGGTGAAGGTTTTGATGTGGCCAAAACTGGCGATGCTCGAATCGGATTCGTTGGTTTTCCATCCGTCGGCAAATCGACGTTATTGTCAAATTTAGCTGGCGTTTATTCTGAAGTTGCTGCCTATGAATTCACAACATTAACAACTGTACCCGGAGTGATAAAATATAAAGGTGCTAAAATTCAATTACTCGATCTTCCTGGAATCATAGAAGGTGCCAAAGATGGTAAAGGTCGTGGTCGTCAGGTTATTGCCGTTGCTCGAACTTGTAGCTTAATTTATATTGTATTGGATGTACTAAAACCATTGCAACATAAACGAATAATTGAACGAGAATTAGAAGGATTTGGTATTCGTCTGAATAAAGAACCCCCACAGATAACGCTACGCCGGAAAGATAAAGGTGGTATTAACCTACAATGTTTAGTACAGCAATCGGAATTGGATTTCGATACTGTCAAAACAATATTAGCCGAATATCGAATAGCGAATGCTGATGTTGTACTCAAATATGATGCCAATGCTGATGATTTAATTGATGTGATAGAAGGCAACCGTATCTATACTCCTTGTATTTATATCCTGAACAAAATTGATCAGATTTCCATTGAAGAATTGGAAATTATTTATAAAATTCCACATTGTGTTCCTATATCCGCTCATCATAAATGGAATTTTGATGATCTTCTCTATAGGACATGGGATTATCTGAAATTAATTCGAATGTACGTTGCTGAATTTCTGTGATTAATTAATTAATTAATTTTTTTTTTATTTTGAAAAATTTTTAGCTATACAAAACCAAAAGGTCAACTGCCTGATTATGATGCACCGGTCATTCTGAATCGTGAACGTAAAACGGTTGAAGATTTCTGTAATAAACTACATAAATCGATTATGAAAGAATTCAAATAGTAAGTAATCTAATTGATTGATATATAGAATTTAATTTTAAACAAACAATATAATTAATCAACAAATTCTACATCATCAGTGCATTAGTATGGGGAACATCGGTGAAACATAATCCACAAAAAGTTGGTAAAGATCATGAATTGAATGATGAAGATGTTGTACAAGTTGTTAAAAAGTAAGTATCAAATCAAATAATTATTTATATCGAAATTTTTTTCTAATAATTTTGTTCCTTTTTTAGGGTCTAAATTTGTGATGGAAACTCAATAATTTGTGAACGAAATTAATTTTCCTTTCAAAAACAAACAAACAAACAATCCTTTCCAGTTCAAAATAAATCAATTGAAAATATGTTAAACAAAAATCATATTGATTTTCCGGTTATTTTCTGTTGTCATGGTTATGGCCATACATACATGTGTTTGTAGTCGTAAATGTGGAAAAACTGGACCATAGATTTTTTTATTTTCATTCTTCCATCATATCATTTTTGATTATGAAACCAATTATTATATGAATTGGATATGAAAATAATGAATTGGAACCTAGAGTTATATTGGGTTATTATTTAGATCATCATCAATCACACACACACACACGCACATGACTCGTTCCATTTTTTTTTGTCCATTCTTAATTACCAACTTTTATCATTCCAAAATTTTTATGGCTTTTGTGTGAGGAAAAATAAGCTAAAGCTAAAAAAAAACATTGATAAATTGTAAACACACAATAATTGCCTAGATATATTGGGCTGAAAAATAATATAAATCATCATCATCATCATTTTATTTAACGACAACGACAACGAATACAACGATACAATGATAATGGGTATTATGTTGATGATAAACATCCGAAATAAAAACGAGAGTGATAAAGAGAAATAAAGAAAAAATTGTTGCACCGTTAAACCATTGTAGGTAATGGTTAGATATATATATATTTTATGGTAGTGTCGAATTACAATTGAATTTTGTTTTTTTTTGTTGTTGTTGATACATTGATATCAGCATCATCAATTTATATAATAAACTTCCCTCGTCCACCTACATATACACACACACAGATAAACACACGCCAATCTGTCTCCATGTCTCGTCACACACAACAGATTATTTGAGGTTGACATTCTATCTTTCAATTAATTGAAAATTATTGTTGATTTTCTCAATAACAAAAAAAAAATAATAATAATAATAACATTATGTCCAACGATGATTATGATAATCACATGTTTTTTTTCACTTTCTCTAACATTTTTTGTTGTTGTTGTTGTTGTTGTTGTTATTTTATTATTATTATTATTGTTGGTGGTGGTTGGAGTTTGAATTTTCGATTCGTTGGCTAGATTTTCGTCATTTTTTTCCAATCATTCAATAGTAGTTTTATTTTGGATTGGATTTCTTTCTTGTTCATTCATTTATTGTATATGTATTTGATTGATTCATTCGTCATTTGTAGTTTGTAGTTTGTAGTTTTTGAAAATGGAATAGCCAATTTGTAAATTATAAGTGATTCGAACAAATAGAAAATGCATTCAGTCAATGCAATATTAGCACAAACAACGATTCGTTTCGAATCAAATGCATCGAAAATTATTCATCCATATTGGCGTTGTAATCTGGATTCAATTCGTCGTGTTTCGTTTGCACAATATTTACTGGATAAATTATCCGGTAATCATTCACAACAAAAGATTGTATGTATTTGTTTTGTTATTCTAGTTTGTTCATTTGTTTTCAAATCATATATTAATGTAGATTGAATATGAAACTCAAAACACCTGTACATATGAAGATCTTGGCCATTATATTAGACAAGCGGCAACATTATTGAATAAACACATTTCGGCTGGTGAATTTATCGTATTTATTGGACCAAATTCATTTGAATATTTAGCTTTATATTTTGGCGCCATTTGTAATGGTGCAATACCGATGAATTTACCTTGTAACAATAATTCATTGCGTAAGTTTTTAATTTTTAATTTTTGATTTTTTTTTCTCTTTATAAAATCTAATTTATCACCATTGTAGAAGATATTCGAACATTCATCATACAACATAGTGTACAATATCTTGTAATGAATATTGATCATGGCAATGAATTTGATTTGGTTGTCATTCGAAAATTGTTAAATTCAATCACACAAATCAAGGTTGTGTTTTGTCATTCATTTTTCTTTGCATCGATGAAATTTATTTTTCTTTTATTTTTGATAGAAAATTTTTCTCTATGGTTGTGTACACACCAATGATGATTCTATTGATAATGAAAAAATTGTACATCTAGGTGATTGGTTAAATTCAAATTTGAATGAAATTAATCAATTATACAATCCGATTAATGTCGTTACCGTACCTTGTTTGGCATTCAATTCAAATGGTACACATCAATGGCCACCAAGGCTTTTTATTCATAATCATTTTTCATTGGTTGCCACAAGCGAAACGATAGCCGATGGTCGAATTTTTGAATTTCGTTCCATTGATAAATTATTGGTTTATGGTTCGTTTGAACATCTTGAAAATATTCTCATGTTTATATCAGCCATTGTGAATGGATGTAGTTTTGTATTGCTTCCCAGTTATGATTATGTTCATATTATTGATGCCATTGTTCGATATAGAATTTATTTGGCTATTTTACCATCAAATTTTCTGATCAAATTGCTAAAAGATTCTGGACATAATGTTAAGCTTGAATATCTGATCAAAATCATTGCATTTGGTGGCAAAATATCGACAATATTATGTCAAAAATTTTTTCATCGTTTTCCAAATGTCCGTTCTATTCGTCATTGTTATCTGATGGCTGAAACACCAACTCCAATAACAATGTTGATACGTAATTCAAATGATTATGATTCGGCCGGATTTCCATTGCCAAATACGCAGATTAAAATTCACAGTCTGTTCGATTATGATGATGAAATGTTAGAAGCAAATTGTTGTGGTTTGATTGCCATTGGACGTGAACGAAATATGTTTGCCATCGGTTATCTTAGTAATAATAGGTTAGTGTCATATTTATATTTTGATTTAATTTGATTTCGAAAATTGTTAATAAAAAAAATTTTGAAATAAAAACAGTTCTCGTATAATGGAATTAAATTTTCAGCAAACAATGAATCAATCAACAGCTGATGAACATTATCATCATCGATGGTTAATCACACAGGACATTGGTTTCTATGATGAAAATGGTCTAATCTATTTGCATGGACAATATCGATATTCATCAATGGAATTGACTTCAATTGTTCAACAATCTAGAATTGAATCCTATCTGCTTAATCATCCATTGATAGCAGAAGCATATGTCATTGAAACAACAACAGGAAAATGTGCTGCATTAGTAGCATTGAAATTTGTCAATACACATCTAACACCGGAACTTAATCAACAAATTGTTGATTACATCAAAGGTATTGCAATCAATAATAGTGATCCTGGATTTGGAAAAAAAATTCTTCTAATTTTAATTATTTACATACATATAAAATTTTAGAAAATGTTGCTGATTTAGATGAATTCTTTCTATTTGTTCAATATAATATACCAAAAACTAATTGTGGCCGCTATATTGATTGTCTAATACGTAAAGAGATATTTAATTTAATCAATTTGGAAAAAAAATTCTAATCAATTTCAATCAGATGATTGAATAAAAAAAATTGAATTGTTTTATTTAAATATTTTTGCTTATTTATAAACACAACAAGATCCTGGAACCAATATATATGCAATCACCAAAATAAAAGTTATTTTTGGCTGACCAGGAACTTATATAAATAGTATTTCTTATAAACATTCCAATAATAAATCATAAATCAATCGCAATCATCATTATTATTATTATCTGTTATTATCGATGCAATAAGTGACAAGAAAAAAAATCAAATTAATCTGAATTTAAATGACAAGATTTCCAATCATTGATTGAATGATTGAATGAATAAATGTAATGGATATAAGCTTCAAACAATGTTGATGATTTTTAAATTTTGTTATCATTTGGATCCATTCTTTTTTTTTCTATGATAAATGTCAATATATCACATTTTTATTATATCACATTATATATATTATCACTATAAAGTTGGCACACGATTTCACTTGAAAACAATAATTTGATAATTTGTATCGTGTTTTTTTTTGTTTTGTTTTGTTTTGTTTTTTGATTGTAATTTTTTGTTTTTCATTTTCATTCAATTTAAATTCAATCATAATCACATTGACAATGGATTATCATGACTATCAAGCAGTACACATATTTGAACCTTATTTCGATGGATTTTTTTTTTTGGCGCCGCTAGTCTATGGGTAGCATCTTTTTTTTCACCTATGATGGTAGCCAATGAGTTAATCTGTAATCTAGATAATATTTTGATTTGATTAGGATTGAATCCAGGCAATCTACAGAACATTGTGATACATGTCAAGTACACACACACATACAGACATTAATTATATGAAGGTTATCTCATATTGGAGGTCTCATTGTTTTTTTTTTTTTTTTGTTATCCCTCCTATTTTTCCCATTCATACATTGTAGATAATTGACGCATTTTTTTTAAAAAAATCAATATTTATCAATCATTACAATTCATGTTCAAAATCAGGTTTATAATAAGAGGGTGTTCATTGAATGATAGAAGTAATGAGGAGGAGAAAATGAATCAATTGTTCCATCGTCCAAATATCATACATATTTTTTTTTTTTGGTTGTTGTTGTTGTTGTTGTTGATAATGATACAAACATCCATCCAATAATATGATAGGATAATTAAAAAAAAACAAGGTACTTTTTGTTGATCAATTGTCATATTACAAAATAATGAAGTGAGATTCAGTAAAAAAAATTTGATATCAATTTTTTTTTTTTTTTTTTTTTTGATTGTTGAGAACCAACTAACATGTGTGTGTGATTACGTGTGTGTGTGTGTGTGTGTGTGTGTGTGTGTTTTATTGATGTCATTGTCGCTATTGATCTTTCATCGGATATATTAATTTTTGAAAGAATAAAAAAAAATCCAATTTAATTGAAAGCATTTTTTTTTTTTGCTACTGAAATACATTTTCTTATTTCATATCCTTGTTTGGAAATTGAAATTTAAAAAAACTTATAAATTCGTCAATTCATCAATTGGTGCGACAAACATACGGATCGACAAACATTATTGATTGATCATAAATAAAATTAAAAATGATGAAAAATTTTTCCGAACAAATTATCATTCAATATTCATATAAAATTGGCTTAGCTCGTGTAAGTAAGCATTACATTGATTATTGGCTGAAATTCTTGTATTTTAATGATTTGTAATTTTTTTTTTTCATTAGTGCCGTGATGTTGAGAATATTCATGATATCGAAAAACGTTGCCATTTTATTCGAACAACCGCTGCTTGTGCTTATGATGGTATTCTGTTTTCACCTATTGAATTGGCTTATTGTCAATTTGATGAATTACCTTTGTTAAGTTTTCCGATTCTGCTTGCCATGTTATTCATGCTGTTTTTCATCGTTGGTTTGGTTGCTGATGAATTGTAAGTTTGTTGATTTTATTGAAATTAATTTAAATTCTTCATATCAATATATTTCATCATGATCATGATCATTAGCCTTTGTCCATCATTATTGACCATATCGAAAACATTACGTCTTCCGAATAATATTGCTGGTGTTACATTATTGGCATTCGGTAATGGAGCACCGGATATATTTTCATCAATCGAAGGTATTAGCCATTCAAAACCAAATTTAATATTTGCCAGTCTATTTGGTGGTGGTACATTTGTTACCACTATTGTTATTGGTAGCATTATATTGAATGGTGAATTTATCATGAGTAAAAGACCATTAGTTCGTGATATTGTTTTCTATATTGGCGCTACGTTTATGACATGGGCATTTATTTATGGAAGAACGCTTAAAATTGACAATGTTATTGGTAAGTTGTAGTCTATGAAATTTGAAGAAATTTATTTACATTAATCTTTTATTCAAGCTTTGGTTTGCTATTATCATGTTTACATAATTACCATTTTTATAAGTCGTTATGTTTATTTGCGATTTCAAAAACCAAAACAACAACAGCCAGTTATGGTTGAAGAACCACGATTATCCGAGATTAGTGTATCGATAATCGATGTTGATGATGATGATCAAATATTATCGAAATCAGCTTCAAAATCATCGATAATGAATTTGAGTAGAAAAAGTTCACAACTTTCATATGGAACATCGATTTCAGATTTGAATGAAATCGATGATGATATGATTCGATCAAGATTTTACCGTAATAGTAGTATAGCTCGTAGTACACGTAGTCGTAAAATATCTGAATCCAAACATATTGCCCATCATCATTGGTCCAATACTATTCATAGTGTTTCAAAATCATTGGCAACAGATGAAGATTATCTTGATAACAATGATTCAATTGATTCACATAGTTATTTGAATCAAAATGAATATCGAATAACATATTTATCACAATTTTCAATGGTTGAAATGATGAGCGAAACAAAAAATTTCCTACTTCACATCTGTCCTATTGATCTACTTGAATGGAATGAAAATTCATTCATTAAAAAATTATTTGAATTAATTAAGGCTGGACCATATTTTCTTCTTATTGTTTGTATACCTGTTGTGGATCTAGAATCGGTCAATGAAAATTGGTGTCGTCTATTGTGCTGTATAAACATTGTTATTGCACCACAAATTATTCTATTTCTTCAACAAAGTAGTAATCTATATACATTTTTTATGACATTTTTTTTTGATAATTTTTTTATTTTCATTCAATTTATAATTAGTTGATTATGAAATTGATCATCAATTTCCAATATGGGCATTATTATTGATTATATCACCAATATTGATTATATTCATATTGTTAACATCGGATAAAAATCGGCCACCTATTTATCATCGAATATTTGCATTCATTGGTTTTATCATTTCCATCATATTCATTAAGGTTATTGCTAATGAAATTATAAGTATTTTACATACAATCGGTATTTTGTTTCATTTATCGGATTCATTTCTTGGTCTAACTATACTAGCATTGGGTAATAGTGTTGGTGGTATGTTGATGATGATGATCCAAGGTGTTTTTTTCATTTATAATTGAAATTTTTAGATTTAATGTCCAATCTATCGATGGCACGTCATGGCTATCATAGTATGGCTATTGCTGCATGTATTGGTGGACCATTGTTCAGTATGTTTTTCATTGAATACCAATTATTAATTGATTAAATTTTGTTTTTTTTATCATCATCATCATCAACAAAAAAAAACAAAACAGATCTATTAATTGGTTTGGGTGTTCCATATTTAACATTATTTATTAAAAATGGTAATTTTCATGGGAAAATAAATGTAAGTTACGTTAGCAAAAAAAAAAAAAAATTTCATTTTACGTCAAAATTAAAAAAAATCATTATCATTATCAATTCAATTCAATTTGATTTGATTACAATTAGATTCACTTTATTCCATTGTTGTTGTTTTGTTTTTTTTTCATTTTTTTTTTTTTGAACAGATTCATTATACACATATGATAAGTTTACCATATGCAGCATTGACAACAAGTCTTTGTACATCGTTATTGATATTTGTATTGGGAAAATTTCGTTCATATCGTATACATGGCTACATATTGATCATCATTTATATTGTTTATATAATTTTGGCCATTTTATTGGAATTCAAAGTTATTTAAAACATTGACTCATCTAACCCACTTTATTTTGTTCAAGTTTTATTCATTTTTTATATATATGTGAAAAAAAATTGTAATGAAAAAAAAAACATTCGCAATTGAATTGACAAAAAAAAATTTTTAAATTTTATTCAATGGATTTTTTTTGGGACACCGGACAAGATAGATAGATAGACAATAAAAAAAAGATTCATTGAGAAAAAATAGAAAGCTTAAAGCCAAAATATAAATGATATAAGTGAAATTGAAATCCTTTTTTTTCCTCCATCATTGGATTCCATATTGGCAGGATTGAATGAATTATTTTTAGACGAAAAATCTTTATCTTTGGCAGTTGATCTTATGTTTTTTTTCCATTTTCATTTTAATTTTGTTTGATCTTGATGTTGTTGATCAAATAATTCATCTGATCGAAAGCTTAATAGCTTGATCGAGATTCATGGTATTGTTCATGTCGGTCACCAACCATACCAGCTCGGTTATCGAAACCTACTCGGAATGTTTTGGCATCACCACCAAATCGGTAACCACCGAATGATGATGAGGAAGATGGAACAATTGATGAAGATGGAACAATTGATGATGATGATGTTGAATATTTGGTATCATAACCATAACCAAATTTAGCTGGTTCATAAGATGATTCAACAAAAGCGGCTGCTGGTTGAGCTGCATAACCAACGCCGTATGAAGCGACAGATGGAGCGGAAACAATTTTTTCTTCATAACCAATAGCGATTGGTTGTGCAGCAACAGCGGCAATTGGTTGTGCGGCAACAGCGGCAATTGGTTGGGCAACAGTGGCTACTGGTTGGGCAACAGTGGCTACTGGTTGGGCAACAGTGGCTACTGGTTGGGCAGCTACGGAAACGTGTTGATAACCCATATGAACTGGTTGAGCGACGGTGTTAACAGAGTGTGATACTTCACGGTTAACGGAAACACCGGTTGATGGTGCAACATAGTTTTGTCGTTGGCCTTCAGCTTTGGTAACGACCGTGTGTACAGCTTCAAAAATAAAAATAAAAATTAAAAAATGAGAATATCGTCAAGTAGAAATTCTCAATTAATTTTTACCTTCAACAACTGGGTTAATTTCTTGGGTAACTTGTCGGTATGGTGTAATCACTTCTCGGACTTCCTGAATAACTGGTTTTTGGATCTCATGGATCAATCGAGCTGGTTCATCTGATGATTGGCTTATTTGAGTTTGCGGTACTGGAGCTTGTTCATGAGCTTGGCTCAATGAAACTGAGGAAGATTTGGTTTTAAAGTGAAGATGCAATGGAGTTTCCGATGGTTCGACTTCAACGATTTGTGGTTGAATTGGATGTTCTTGGTGGCCCATGCTTTTATATTCGACTGTACGACCCAACTGGTGGACGGCAGCTTGTACAACTTCCTGGTGGGCGTCACTTTTGCGTTCAGTCAAAAAGTTGACCGATGGAGCGATGGCAGCTGTTCGGACAACGTTATCTGATGCGATCACACCGGCTGAGTGGACAACTGGTTGAGCAACGTAAGCGGCGGTGGAAATTGGTTGAGCAACGTAACCGGCGGTAGAAATTGGTTGAGCAGCATAGTATCCACCCATTGCACCATAATGGTATGATGGAATGATATTATAATAACCACCACCAAGACCGAAACCGCTACCATATCGTCCATAGTACATTTGTTTTGGATAACTGCTCCATTGACCGTAGCCTAAGTGACCATAACCATGGCCATGACCATAACCGTAGCCAGAACGGTCACCAAAATGTCTGGCTCCATAACCAAAACCAGCACCATAAAAACCTGGAGCATAATATTTACCGCCTTGATAGCCACTTCCCCAACTGTAGCTACCAATCATTTTCTTTGATTTATCATAGCTTTCTTCGGCAAAGCAGCCGATTGCTAAAAGGCCCAAAACGACAAACTATTTGAGAAAATTTTTAGCAAAAAAAAAAATTCATATTTTAAATTGAAAATTTCATTTGTTAAACAATAACAAACCTTAAGCATGGTTATTAGATTATGAAGTTTTTTTGTTTTTGTTTTCAATGGATAGTTAAACGAAAATCCAAATAACTGATGATTCAAAATAGCAAACATCATTGGCTTTATATAATAAAATTCAGACCCTCAAAAAAAAAATTGAAATTTAGATTTTTTTTTGCTGCCCAGCAACAGAATATATTTTGAATAATGAGAAAAGAAGATAAAGAATAAGATCAAACACACACACACACATATACACATATTGACAAAAAAATTTGTTGTTCACTCCTTTCATGTATAGAATATTTAATCCAGTGAAAGTAAAAAAAAAGACGAAAAACAAGAACATTTTTGATTTGATAAATGATAAAATCAAATGTCGTGATAACGATCATCATCATCATCATCATTATTTTAGCATAGATTTTGAACAATTTTTTTTTTATTCGTAACAACAGCAACAACAAGGTATGTCCCTCCTTACAAGCGAGTGTATAAGGGTTTTACCTTGTCACTCAAGTTTTATTCATCATCATCATCATCATTTACTTTAAATCAATTGAACGATTTTAATGGAATCGAACTTGAAATTTAAATTTTCATTCAAATAGTATAGTTGATTATTGTTGTTGTTGTTGTTGTCATGGGCCACAGGCCGAAAATGGAATTTTTTTTTATCATCGTCATCTTTGTGTGAAAAAGAAGGGGGTCGATTATTCGAAGGGTTAGTTTTGTAACCAAGCACTTTTTTTTGTGTGTGTGTGTGTGTGTGTGTGTGTTTGTATGTCTGTATCGTGAAAATAATCATCATTTTGTCCTTGATCTTAAAATCTACATCATCAACGTCATTGATGTGATGTAGGTTGATAAATTATTGGTTTTCAGGTTTTTATATTTTTTTTTTGTTTTTTGTTCATCACATAAATATTGTACATTAGATAATCGTGCATGAATTTTTTTTTTATTTTCGATAAAAAACAAAACAAAACAAAACAAAAAAAACAGAATCAAGGTGAAACAGGCCTTACGGGCAATTGATAAACGAATTTTTGTTTTTGATTTTAATAGAATTTTCTAGAGAAAACTGGGATTCTATCGAAAAAATTTTTTTTTTTTTTTTGTTATGTAATAATTGAGTATTTCGTTTAGTGTGCGAAATATGGCTGTTATTGAACTGTGATTGATATAACAACACTCTTACTTACACATCATTATCAGTACGAAACACACGGATTAATCGATCATGTGTACGTGCCTGTTTTATCGATTACCAGCGATCAATCTTTTTTCATTTCTTTTTGTTCATTGTAAATGAACGAAGAGAGTTCACTAAAGTATTTTTTTTTTCTATATTTCATTTGGAATTTTTTTTTCTCTTTCTGCTCATTGAACATGATAAATTGGCCAAATTTTTTTTTGTTTTCGTTTTGAAAAAAAATTGACATATAAATGTAAAGATGTGATTAGAAGGAAAAAAATTCAGAAATTTCAGAATCAAAATCCAATCCAATTGAATTGTTAATGCAAAAAAAAATTAATAGAAAATAATAATAATAATGTCAAATATAATAGAATCTAAATTCAAGAATTCACGATCAAATCGACGATTTTGCTCAGTATAAAAGACCTTGAAGAATTTCGATTCAATAAAAAACCAAATATTATCATCATAATCATCATCAACCATATACATCATCATCATCAAATTATCAAGTCATTTTTCATTTGTCCAATATAGCTACGATGTTCATGTGCCTTGTTGTTAGTGTTCCAAATGGAACCATCAGCATCATACAAAGAATTGACAATGAATCTATACAATACAGCATTCATTTTTATTATTATTGAGTTGAGTTGAGTCATGTCTGGTCTAGTTCAAGGTCATTCAGCTGTTGTTCCGAACGGTAGTGGTTTCAGGAACAAACAACTTTTATGTGAAAAAAAAATCATTTTGTTTTCATATGGTATATCCAGAATTCTTGGTTGCCATGTGTGTGTGTGTGTGTGCATCGATTCTGTGTATAGCAAATGACGTGTGCTTTCTCTAATGTTAGAGTCAATGTGTTAATTCTTTTCTGAATCCATCCATATGATTTTGTAATGCACATGTGTGTGTGTATATATATGTTTCTAGGATCACTAAATTCCTGAAAATCAAATAATAAATTCATTATTATAAATTGAATGGAATAGATTCCTTTCGATTCGAATGGATCCAGATGGTTAATGTTTAAACATTGTGTGTGTGTGTTTTGTGTTTGTAGTATTTACCAGTGTTAACTGGATTTATTATCATCCAAATCATCAAACTGATTATTGTCATTTGATCATCGTGATCATGATCATCATCATCATCATCGATTAGATCTCATTGTCAATCATTTTTCTAGAGAAGAAAAAAAAAATACAGCTGACAATTTTTGTCAATTTTCTCACAAATTTTTTATTTTTTTTTTCGATAAAATATTGATTTTATCGATTCATTTATATCGTTTTTGAATAGTCTATAAACGATAATTATGAATTGTGAAGAATTTTTTTTTTTCTTTCTTTCAATCGAAGATTCTTTATTTATTCATGCAATAAAAAAAATAAATAAATATCGATCAGAAAAAAATTAACATTAACACAAACATACATATTGATCAAATATTGCTAAAACGGAAATTCAATTTCATTTTCATTTCCTTTTTTGGATTCAATTGAACTTTTCAATTTATTTGATAATAATTCTTGATAATAATACTTAATTGAAATATATAAATTGAGATTCAACAGCTTACATATGCTGTGACAACGACAACGACGACGACGACGACGACAGCAAACAATCCAAACAAACAATCCAAACAAAACATACTCGTACAAACAATTTATAATACATACATAATTTCATGCCAACATTTTAGCTATTCGACCATCATTATTATTTTTCAATGCCATCATCATCATAATCATCATCGTAATCAACATCGTAAATGCCAGATATGTTTGTGTGTGTGCATCTGTCTATACCAGACTTTGAAATTTCTTGTTGTTTCTCTTCCTTGTTCATGAAATCTAAATGAAATAGAAAAATTTGGATTTTTCTTCTTCTTCTTTTTCTTTTTCTTCCATCAAATAGTCTCTGTTTGAAAAAAAACATCTATAAATAGCTTCAAAAAATACAAGTGTTTTGTGTAAATCTATTGAAAATCATGTTAGAATGGACAGCTTTTTTTTCTCTCAAGCTATAACGTCATCTTTGTTGAGCTTTTGTTATTGTTGTGTGGAAAAAAATTCGAATAGATTTGAATTTGATCCTGAAATTGTTTGATCAAAATTTCATTTCATTTCATTTTATTTTCCCATAATGGCTACTGCAATGGTTAATCATGATCATCAAAATGGCCGTCATAGTGATTTAGATTTTAAATTGACAATACGTTCTATGCAATTCGATGAAATTGAACCGGCCGTAATGATATTTTCTCGTGCTGATCTCAATGATTCATTGAATGTTGTACAAAGTTATTATGAATCTGATCCATCCGGTTTCTTTGTGGCAATTGATGAAGATTCAGATAAAGTGATTGGTGCATGTGCTGCACCAATGACCACACATCATACAAGATTTCTTGGACTTTATTGTGTTGAACCACAATTTCAAGGTCTTGGAATTGGCATGAAATTATTCTCAAAATGTATGGAACAAGTTGGCGATGATAATTGTGGTCTTTGTGCTGTACCCAGTAAATTTAAAATCTATAAAGATCGTGCTGGTTTTCGTCAACAAGAAGGTCGATCCATGGTAATTATTGAAGGTAAATCTCCAAACATACAATCATTACGTACGGCTGAAAAACTTGATCAACGATATCGTTTGATTAAATTGATGGCTGACAATATTGATCGTTATGAATCATTGATTGAAAAAATTATTGAATTCGATGAAACCGTTCAATTGGACAATCGTTCTAAATTATTACGTCATATGTTTGCCAAAACGACGACAATCACATTAGCCGTATTGGATACAATGACCAATGATAATAAAATTGTTGGTTATGGTTGTATACAATTAGATCCAAGTATTTAGTGATTTTCAATTATTTGATTAACTGATTTTAAGTAGAATTTTTTTTTCTTTCCCATTTCAAAGTTGGTCGATCAATGCCCGGACCATTATACGCTATTGATCCATTGATTGGTGAAGTATTATTATCGGAACTGATACGTTCGGATGGCCGTTTTTCATCCAACGATCAGATAGCCTATTTTACTACCGATAATTCTCCTGAAACAATCCGTTGGTCACTTGAACTACTTGGTTTAAATGAATCATGTCGTTGTGAAAAATTGTATACGAAATTCATTCCGCCTTTTAATTATAATCATCTTTATTGCTGCCATTCTCCTGATTTTGCCTGTTAAACTATCTACTAATAATAATAATAATAAATATAACTAATTTCCTAATTCAATTCTCATAATTATATATATCATAGCAGAATATTTTCCATATGCATGCACATCATCTACTTAGGAATCTGATAAAATTCAGATAAAATTTTGATTTCCCATTCCTTTCATTCAATTATCATCATCATATATCCACAGGGTTCATTATTATTGATTATGTTGTATCAGAAATTTTTATTTTTCCGAAAAATTAACCAAAAATAAATGAAAAAAAGAAAACATTTAAACATCTTCGATTTGGTGGCCATGATTTACGCACTCGTTGTCAATGAAAATATCAATGACAAATAAATACTCTGATTTTAAAATAAAATGATAATGATCACTCGAATGTCAAAATCACAAGTGTTAGATTGATTGGATTTGAAAACAACAACAACAAACAACAAACAACAACAACAATGACGACGACGACGACGACGATGAAAAAAAAATCGATCTTAACACGTCGACAATTTTAGCTAGACATATTATATCATGATGATGATCTGTGTGTGTCTCTGTGTGTGTGTGTGTGTGTTTTGTATTATATCGTCACATTCAAGAATTGTAAATTTTGCCTTTGAAGCAATTGTCAATGTCAGTGATTAGTGAAGATTATTTTTTTTCATGTAAGATTGTTATCAGATTTTTATTTTCTTGCCTGTACTAATCGATTTTTAATTTAAACTGGGTTAGTTTCAAGTGTTTACGCAATTCTTTTTTTTCATCTCATTACGTGCATCTATGATGATTTTTTTCGTTCGATTTCACAATCGATTTCGGTACACCTTGATGATTGTTGAGTAATAATACGAATTCAGGTTGCAAAAATAATGTTTATCTCATCAAGAAATGCTTACTGAGTTAGTAGGAATTGGGAATTTGTAATTTGAATACAATCAATATATAAAAAGGTTCATTCATTTTGCAAAAGATAAAAACATTAGTTTATTTTTCATTCGAAAAAAATTTATCATTAAGAATCATTCGTGGCATTTTGACAGTATTCATATGAAAAATTTGTCATTTGGTTTGAAGCACACACTAATGAATGCAAATAAGAATCGATTCTTGAAATGGAACAGGTAGATGATATATTTGTGCAATTTCTTCGCTCTTTTTTTTCGTCGTCGTCGTTGTTGTTGTTGTTGTTCACGAAATAGCATTTTTAGTTTGCCATAAAATTGGACTATAATCAATCTATTAATAATTCATTTAAATTTTGAATTGATCGAACCAAAAAAAAAAAAAAAAAAATTACCTTTTCACATATTATATTTTGTTCAAAAATAAAATTTCAAATTTTTTGTTATTTGAATTTGTTTGTCTGGAAAAAAAATATCGTCATTATGAATCAATAGTTCAGATGAAAATGGCGAGAAAAAAAATTCGAGAAAAATTCTTACCACTTTTATCTGTCTTTATACGTATGGTCAATCCAATCGATTATTGGCATCATCTTGATGATGATTATCATTCCATTGTTTGTCCAACTATTCATTCATCACTTATACATAGTGCAATCAATTTATTTTTCACAATTTCAATAATACGTTTATCATTTTTGTTGATCATCAGGCTACCATTTGAATATTGTATCTTATTTTTCGATATGAAATGTTTCCAAAAAATCGATCCAATTTTCGATCTATTCTATATACTCATATTCTGGGCATTGAAAACAATTGAATATTCGTATTATAATACAAAACATCGTATGACATTAGATATAATTCGAAAACTTGTATTCCATTCGGATAAATCATTTTTCAACTTATCGAATAAATTTATTGCCAGCAACAAAAACATTTATCGATCTGGCCGTACACCGAAAGAATTGTGTCGAAAATCACGGTTAATTGCAATACTTTTATCACGATTCGTACAAATAGCCATTATAGCGGTGAATTTTCTTGTCATATTCTGGCAATGTCAATTGATCTATATGGTCATTATGAATCGATCATTTTTTCTTAATTCTTGGCTAATGACACCAGTCAAATTGATTATTTCAGAATCAATGTTTCTTTGTTTATTGGGCTCTTATTATGCAACAATCCATTATCTTTTACAATTTGGTCTTCTCTTTCTGGTCGGTATAATTGCCACACGATTACGTTTTCAACAATTGGAAGAATTTCTTTTGGATAATCTTCATAATAAAAATTTTATATCACTTTCAATGTTAAAATGGTTTCGTGTTGAACATACAAAAACAGTACGATTTGTAAGCAATTGGAATAGTATTTATTCCAAATGTTTCACCATGTATTTGATTGCAAACATACCATTCAATCTATATATTGTCATACAATTATTATTTGCCAAATCAGAACAAATTGTCATCATCATGTTGTCGATAATGGCATCACAACAATTTATTGGAATATTTGGTGCCCATCTTCTTATAGCAAGCATACCGCATGGTATTCATCATCGATCAATTTTGCATCTAATCTCATTGAATTTACGTTTACGTTTTCGTACATTTCGTGAACATTTAAAATTGATAAATTATAATGAAAAATTTCATACAAAAAAACCATATGGACTAACTTATTATCGTATGAATTTGATTACAACCAATACATTTTTAAAGTGCATCATTTTATACATAAAAAGTTTATCACTTGTTTATAAAATTTTTATGAAAAATCATTAGATCCGATTTGTTTTTCAATTGTCAAAATAATAATCAAAAAAAACAATCATTGAAGTTGTCAATTTGATTTTTTTTTCACTGTTTGTTTTTACAATTCATATTACACATTGGCTGCAAAGATTTTTATTTTATTTTTTTTTTTGTAAAAATTAAAATTTGCATTTTATTTTGAATTTTGATGGCAAAAAAAATGTTTTTTTTTGAATTCCAATACTTTCATTGATTAGAAAAAATTCTTCACGATTGTCGATTATTGGCTGATTGATTTATCTCGATTGTCAATCATGGATTTTGGTTTTTTTTCATCATCATCATCGTTATTTTTTCGATGATGTTTGATGATGATATTGATGATGACCATCATCAATAGATTGTTGATAATATTCACGATTATTATCTATTTTTTGTTGTACAGGCCATTGTGTATTAACAGATGATTGTTGTTGTTGTTGCGGTAATGATGGTGCATATAAATATTGTTGTGGATTGTGAATCGAATTCAATTGATGTCCACGACCAGTTATATAATCCGGATGTCCGGGTTCTAATTCAGAACTTTCATCTACAATGGCTGATGATTGTTGGTGTTGATAATTTTGTATAGATGGTGGACCATAAATGGGTAGATAATTATCCGTTTCGCTTAATGGTTGTCCGGATGAGACAAATGAATCCGATGCATGTTGCGGTGAATGTCCATATTTTTGTCCTGTTTGACGTAATGGCTGTCCAATTTGATTTTGATATTCATTTGGTGGTTCATATGTGTTTGGTTGCCGCAATGAATGTCCAATTTGTGTAATCGGCTGCTGTTGTTTTGGCTGTCCATGTGAATCAAATTCCGGATAATCGGATAGATAAGCAACATTTTTGATTGGTTCAAAAACAGCTTGTCGTAATGGTTGACCGGAATTTTTATTTTTCTTATCAATTACCAAATTGATTGGTTTTGATTGTATAACAGTAGATTGGGCCGGAGCTGGTTCTGAAACAATTGGTTGACTTGATCGAGAGCCAGTAGATGGCGTTTCCTGTGGAATTGGTTCAATCGTAATTGTAACCGGTCCACCTTGAGCTGGTTGGTTACTAACCACAGGAAGTGTATGTGTTTCACCGGGACTTGCACGTTTATAATCGGATAATGAATTCTCATTTGAATAATACATCGGTGGTCGCATTATATTGTCAATTGGAAATGGATGCATATATGGTGGTACATAGAAATGACGAATTGGCTGTGCTGATGGTTGAGCAGTTGGAATCGGTACCTGATAGAATCGATCACCACCACCAGCTGCTGCAGGACGACTATCAATTGGTTGTTGAGCTACAGGAATTGATACCATCGATTGTTCTCCATGATGATGTTGTTGTTGTTCAACCGTTGGTTGATCATCACGTGTAACCGTATATTTGAAACCTTTTGATGGTTTAAAATCGGTTACAAATACCGGTGTATGAATTCGGGTTTGTGTAACTACAGGTTTTTCCTGTGTTACTTGATAATTATATCCAACCGCTGTTTGATTAACAGGTTCGCTGACAGATTTATAACCAACAACATTCGTAGGCTGCTGGGCGGTGTTGCCTGTTGAACCAATTCGAATTACTGGACTTACAATTTTCATTTGTGGTATCATTATAATATAATTCATACGTTCTGGAATGGTAGGTTGTAAATAATGTATCTGTGTGATGGGAAAATTCATTGGCATTGGTCGAATTTCTCGTACATATGATGTATCGGCTACATCCTGTTGTCTTGGAAGTTGAAATCGGAAATATCGTTGTTGTTGCTGTGGAATAATTACCAATGATGGTTGTTGTGGTGTTGCTACATTAGCTGGTACGACGGCAACTCTTTGTTGTGGAATTTCAACCTGTTGAAATTGATTAATTGGAACGTTCAAATGTTGTGATTGTAATGGGCCACCTGGTCTAGGAATCTGAACAAATTGATTTCGACCTACACCACCGGGACGACCAGCTTCTGGAACTGGTTGTGGTCCATTTGGATGAAATATTACCGGTGTACCAACGGGAATTTGACTTGCTGGAATGATTTGTTGTTGTGGAACTAGAATTTTGAATTTTGAAAAACAATATAAATATGAATTCTTAAAATTTGAAACTTATAAAAAAAACCTGATGTGAAAATTGGATTAGTAATTGGTTGAAATCGTTGAATATAACGAATCCATTCTATTTGTCTTTGATCCGAATGTTCACCACTTGAACTACGACTTGTTGTTGTTTGTGGTAGCGGAATTTGTTGCTTTTGAACTTGTTGTTGATTTTCATCATTAAAATCATAGTAAACGATTCCCGGTTCAGTAGTAGGGACAGGATTCGGTGTAGAATGTAATTCTGATTCGTGTGGTTGCGATACATTACCAGATGATGATGATGATGATGATGATGGCTGTGGTACACCATAGAAATTATTATCATTTGATCCGGTAAATGTTGATTGTTCTAATGGTTCAGGCTGTTCTCGTTGTTGTTCATCATAATGTCTTGAATATTCTGATGGCCGAATCTGTTCTGATGATGATGGTGATGAATCTAGTGGTAGTTGTTGCTCACCTCTATTAATAATAATTGGACGTGGCTTAACACTCATTAAATCAACATTAGTGTTTTGATTATAATCCATATATGTTTTTGGATTAGCCTGGCTAGGCATTCGTAGACGATAACCAAATTCTGGCTGTTGATTAGATGGTTGATCGGATACTTGAAATGAAGCCATGGCTCCTTTTTGTTTTGATGTAGAAATGGTTTTGTAGTTGAAATTTTTTTTTCAAAATTCAATATTAACTTACGTTGTCGGTGGAAAAAAACAGGTGAAGATGGTCCATCATAACGATTATTATCGACAATTGAATGGCTTTTAATATTTTGTGCATCATTACCACAACAAATATGTAAAATGATGGCCGCGAAAACCAATATCTGTGCATGTGTGTCAGATATCAGTATGACAAATTAAAAAAACGACAAAAAAATTGCCAACTTACATTCGATATTGGAATGAATTCTAGTTTCATTTTTTGGTGATGAATTGAAATTTTAAAAATCAAGAATTCTTGACAGAAAAAAACGGATGAAAGAATAAAATTTGAAAAAAAATCAAAAAAAAATTTATTGACACAAGCACAGAAAAAAAAATCAAGCCGGCCACATCGACATGAAATAATCAAATGAATCAACCTTGCATTTGATTGAAAAAGATTGATATTGGACAAAAAAAAATAATAATAAACAACAACAACAACAACAACGACGACGACGATAACGACCAAGAACGACAACAACAAACAACAACAACAAAAAACTCGAATTTTTTATTATTATTATTCACAACTATAGAAAAAGAAAAATGCGTGTGCGTCAAAACATCAGCATCATAAGGAATTCGTTTCGCACACACACACACACACATTCTGAATGAATAAAATGGATGGATGGATGACAACTTGTTTTTTTTTCTTCTAGTTGGGTTTTGATAATTAATAAAGAGATGAGAATTTTTTTTTCTCTGAAAAAAAATGACAAAAATAAAAAAAAAAAAGATTTTGAAAGATTTTATGTAATAAAAAATTCAAACGAATTTTTCTGACTGTCTGAATTCAAATGTCATCATCATCATCATCGTTGCCGCTGTTGCTATCAGCAAGAATGATCACGAAACGATATTCATCTCTGTGAGTGTCAATTTCAAGTGTGTGTGTGTGTGTGCGACCATTCAATTCGATATGAACAATCACACAGCGTACACGTATATCTCTTAAAGGGGCGAGCCATTTGAAGTTACTTGAAACTTCAAAATTCACATTCATTTTTGAACCTGTCAGCAAATAGCCATATATACTCAAAATTCAATTTTATCAACAACAACAACAACAACAACAAAAAGTTGGAACAATTTTTCAATTTTCATTAGAAGGAGAAAAAAAACATGTATCGAAAACGTGTGTGTATGATGATCATTATCATCAGGTGGAAGAGAGAGAGAGAGAGAGAGAGAGAGAGAGAGAGTGCGAACATTTACAAAACAAAGATTTGTTGAAGAGAAAGTGTTAAAAAAAAATATTTTATGAGAGAATCGTCCATTGAGATGATCATCACACACACAATATATTTGTGTATGATAATGATGGTAATGGATCAAACATGAAAAATGATGCCAGAAATGATAAACACAACAACGTTTCTTTTTTTTTGTCAAAAGAACATTTTTAGAATAAGAATTATAACATTGGCCATGGTGATAGGAGATGATGATGATGATAACTAGAAAACTAAAGAATCACTGCAACTAACGAAAAAGAGAAAGAGAGAAAAGGATCAGGCAAATGTATGTACTTTGTAATAACACACGTTGAATTTTTCTCTCATATTTTGATCCAAAGAAGAAGAAATTATCATCATTATTAATAATGATGATGATGATGATGATAATAATAACATCATCATTGATGATGATAATGAGAATTGAATTTTTGTTTTGTTTTTTTAGTTTCAACACAATGTATGTGTGTGGTTGGTTGGTTGGTTTGTTTGTGTGTGTATATGTTCAAGTTGAAGGACAATTCAATTTCTTAATATTTTTTTTCGTATTTCATTAAGAAATTGTAAACGTAGGCGATACTGTGTTAAAATTATGTTTTTTTTTTAGTTTTGGCAGATGATAGAGAACATAAAACACGTGTGTGTGTGTGTGTGTGTTTTATTGAATTGAAAGGAAATAAAAACAATAGAATCTATGAACAGAATTTATAATCATCATCATCATCATTAAAAGATAATGAAATTAAGCCAATCATCACCATGAAAGGGAAAAAGAATCAAAATTTTAAATTTTTTTTTTTTTTTGGTTTCCTCTAAAATCATTATCAATTGCAATGAATTTGGATGTTTTTTTTTACTTTTTTGCTACTACTACTACTACAACCACTTTAAATTGTGTGTGTGTGTGTACGATATTCAAACATATCATATTGCAATGATCTGATTTCTGATGATCAACAACAACAACAACAACAACGTTCGTGATTAAAACGAATCGATTTTTTTTTTTTTTTTTTTTTAGTGTATATATATAGAAACAAAACAACAACATGACAAAACTGGAAACAAGTTTTTCTGTTGTTTCATAATCAATCAAAAAAAAAAAAAAAAAAAAAAATTTCCACTGAAAGCAAAAAAAAACAAGAAGAAATTTTCATTATCAATTTTTTTCTGCGAACATAAAGTTTCCATTTTTAATTTATTCATCATTTACAAAAACAAAAATCAGGGTAGATTGTTCTATTATTCATCATATGGATTTTGATAATTAGAAATAGAAACAAAACAAAACAAAAAAATCTAAAATTTCTTTCCATCACTGACCATAAATGGACATTCACCATATAATATTCATTTATAAACAACGTCAAAAGTTCGCAGTCCAGTCACCTTATTGTTGTTGTTGTTGTTGTTGTTGTTTGTCAACAACAAATTTTTGTCAATTCATCATGAATTCTAATTATGGAACTTTTTATACACAATCAATTATTCACATTGTGTTTCATTTTCATTTGATTTTCAATGAAATTATGCAAAATGAAAAAAAAACTAAATAAAATCAGTAAAATATGGTTATTATTGACAGGAGAGAATGGCTCAACCAATTTATAATAATCAAAATCAAATGACAATGAATAATAATGATGATGAACAACAACAACAACAACAGCAACAACGACAACAACAACAATTGGATATGATCAGTGTGAATCCATTTGTCAATCATTGCCATATGAATGGTTGGCTACGTCTTTATACGTATACAATTGGCATATTTTTATTCATAATACGTTTACCACCATTCATTGGTTTTATAATCATTGCCGTTATAATAGCTAAATTAACATTATTAATAATAGCCATTGGCCAATGGTTTGGTATGCAAACAGAATGTATACGTAAAATTGGTCGAAATATATCCATATTTTTATTACGAACAGCATTATTTTTTGCTGGTTTTTATTGGATACGTATGGTTGATCAACGACCATTAGATCGTCGTGATCATTTGGCACCGATCATATGCGCTGCACCGCATTCATCATTTTTTGATATTTTACTCATATTAAAATTAAAGAATCCAACATTTGTTTCACGTAAAGAAAATCTTCGTACACCATTAATTGGTAATATTTTACGTCTTTACAATGGTATATATGTTGATCGTCATAATAAAGATTCACGTACAGCAACCATACAAGCTATTATGGATCGTACAATCAATCATGGTGAACATGTATTAATATTTCCTGAAGGCACTACAGCAAATCGTAAAGCTTTATTACAATTTAAATTGGGCGCATTTCTACCACGATTGCCTATTCAACCAGTATTAATACGTTATGAAAATTGTTGTGGACTACAGGATCCAATCACTTGGACATGGGAAGGACCAGGATCGGTTAGAATTTTTTTCAATACAATGTCTTGTTTATCTATTGATTGTGAAATAACGATTATGGAAGAATATCGTCCCAATGATGATGAACGACAAGATCCGAAAAAATTTTCACAAAATGTTGCCAAAAAAATTTCTTTTGAATTGGGTATACTACAATCATATTATTCATATGATGATGTACCATTAATGCCATTGGCTAAACAATTTCGTCTTTTTCGTTCACCAATATGTATACTGATGTTGAAATTGGCCGATAAAATTCGTTCATCAACAATCATCATTGTCAATAATAATAATGATAAAAGCAACAACATTCAACAACCAGTGATGAATCAATCATCAAATGGATTTATAATCAATACAAATAACAGTGTTTTTGATGGCCAAAATAATCAAACAACAACAACAACAACAACAACAAGTGATGATAGTGAATTTCGAACTTCAGGCTATTCATCATCAGAATCATTGATTGAATCATATAAACCAATTAATATGGATCAACCATTATCACCAATGAATGATTGTACAGAATCATCATCTGATCATTTACAGAATTTAACTTTGTTTTCGAAAACTTTAAATGATTCAACAACAACAATTGAATTTCAACATTTACCCATTAGTAATGTAAGAAGACGAATATTTCGTTTCAATACTACTTCGGCGTTAATTGCTATCGATGATAATAATCGTTTGTTATATGAAATATTCTGTCGTCTTATTGAACATTGTATTACGGTGATGGAAATGAATTTTCAATATAGAATTATTGAATCAAGTAATGATTTACTAAATCTATGGAAATTATCTGAATTCATTCGAAATGATGCAACTATTCAAAGTTTAAAAGGAATTTTTATTGATTTTATCAAAATGTTAGAAATGACAGTGGCGTTACCAATTACAACAATGCACGTGTTAATCATATTACATTTATGTGATATACGTGAATATGATCTTTGGGAACGAATACGTGTTGCCATACGATTGTTTGATCGAATGCATCCATCACCATCACAATCGGATAAAATGATCACTAATGAACCATATTTAACTATGAATGAATTTCAAACACTATTATGGTATTCGATCGGTTTAAATGAATTTAATGATTATTATTTTCTACAAAATCATTTTGATTATCGTTATATAAGAGAAAATCTATGTCGATTATTTTGGCGAGCTGTAAATGAAAATGCACCACAATTGATTCAAAAACAAAAACCACCATCACCACCACCACCACCGTCACCATCACACCAAACGATGAAAGAAAAAGAAGCGCGAGAATAAATTTTAAAAATTTACATATTTTTAATCTAAAATAATAGATGGCGCATTGTGCGTAACAAGTTTTTTTTAAATGATCAATTTTTCAATGATTTCAATCGATTGTCAATTTAATCGCTGTTGATCATCAATCGATGATGTATACAATATATTTATAGCGAAATAACCAGAAACTTTATCATTTCGATTCATTTGTTCTATTGTTTTTTGGTATGATAGTCGAGATGGATCGATAAAAAAGCGCGTGACCATCTGAATTTTTTTTTTTTTTTTTTGCAGAATATTCCTACAAATGAATTGTATTCGTATTGGCCAACCTCTTCAATCTCTAATGTTATGTTGGTAGTTTTTTATGTAATGTAAATTCAAAGCATCGTTCAATCATTCCATTTTAGGTCATTTATTTTTTCATTGTTCCACATACACAGACACACACAAACATCCATACATCATTCTGATGATCAAATTTATGGGCGTGTCAGTAACCGGAAAACTAACAACAGCAACAGCAGCAGCAGCGGCAGCAGATTTCAAATTTATTTTGGACCTATTATTATGGGTAATTTTTCGAATTTTTGTGCGTGTATGTGTGTTCAAAATTCTAGAATTTGGACATTGTTTCTCGGGATCTTGCTATCGTTCTCTCTCTCTCTCTCTTTCTTGGTTGAGTGAGACACACCTTTTTTTCATTCATTTTTTTCTGTTGTTGTTGTTGTTGTTTTGATGATGAAAACGAGGAAATGATCATTGGTTCTAATCGAACATTTTTTTTTGTTTTGTTTTTCATTATTGGGCGCACGCATATACACTCGAATTTGTTTTTTCATCCACCACCCACCCATACGATTGTTTTTTTTATAACAGATGGCAATGTTGTTTTTTTCTTTTTTTTGGTGGTGGTGGTGGTGCTGGTGGTATAATGAATAATAATTTCATTGGAAGAACATGAACAACGGCCGCAATCGATGAATCGCAACAATCGAACACTAACGATCAATTTGGATAGACCAAAACGCTAGAAATCAAATGTCATGACCATCATATGTGCCATTCACACACGAAATTGTAGTAAAAATACGATTATCAGGGCAATATTGAATTTAGTGAATTCAAAAAGAAAAAAAAAAACATTGAACAACCGGCACAATGACCCGGTAATAATATCCTTATAATAACCACACACACACACATTAAATAAAACATCACCAAATGTAATTGTGGCAATACTAACAACACCTGTACTACTATTATTATACATCATACGGGTTAGCAAAAAAAAAAGACAAAAATTCAATAACCCGATTTTTATATACACAGCTGTGAATTAAGAGAATAGAAATTCAAGAAAGAAAAATAAAACGGACAAGATCAAGATCAGGTCATCGTCATCATTTTCATCGGTAATAAAGAAGTGGTTTTTTCTAGTTTTTATTTCAAAGTTGTTTGGCGTGTGTGTGTGTGTGTGTGTGTTGATTGATAATGTTGATGATTGTGACCCCGAGGAGGTCGCAAACGCGCGCTCTTTACAAACTCAATACAAGAAAAAATGATTTCCCTTCATAATCATCGAATAATAGAAACTCCCTTCATTCGCATAAATTGAAATACCAAAAAAAAAAGCCGAAAAACAGGATGGACGCCATCATCATCATCATCATCATCAACAACAACCATACTGTGGCATTCCACCCATATTTCAAAAAAAGAGTGGGAGAAAAAAAAAAAAAAAATAATAATAATAACGAGAAGGAGGGAGGGAGGCTTGTTCTATACAGTAGTGTCTCGAATAATTTGTTCCAAAACGGAAATGGTTAATCAAAGTTCCATTTTTTTCAAAAAGAGAACTGATAAATCCATATTATAAAATCTATATTAGATTATTGGATATAACAATATTTATTAGCACAATGAAAATTTGATTCTTTTGAATTTACCACTAGCTATGCTGATTCTATAGATTTTGGCTATTTGAGGTGGTTTTAGATATATTGTCAATGTTTCCAATAATCATCAAAAAACCACCATCGCTAACCGAGATATCACTGTATATATATATATATTGATGATGTATATGCATGGTATCATCCAACACCCAAAAAACCAGCAGCTACCACCACCCCAATCATTGTCATTTGGAGCATTTTAGTTCGTATTATTTTTTGGATACACGTTACGTCGCTACAAGTCATGCCGGTAGAAGTACCAACAACAACAACAACAACAACAATCATTTATAATTATCTTTCATTCTTCAAGGTAGTAGCATACTGATCAAGTAAAAATTAAAAAAAATATGTAGGCAAAGCATATAGTATTGGTATTAAATGAAAAATACCACGATCCATACATTTATATCAGATATACAAAACAGATAAGGTAAGTGGATAGTTGTAGTGGTGGTTGTTTTTGTTATTGTTGTCATCATCATCATCATCATTGTTGTTGTTGTTGTTGTTGATATTGCTGCCATTTGTCTTGTGATGAGTTTACAGAGTGAAAAAAAATAACAATTTTCATTTTTTTTTATTTTTTTTTTTGATTTGATTGATGGATCAAATTAAGATCGGTGTGTCTACATTGAGTTCTTATTCGTCATATAATTTACTGGTAATTTTTATTTAATGTGAAAAGTTTTGTTTTATTTTGTTTTGTTTTGATTATCAACACGAGGAATTTTTTTTTCTTCAATTTTATCGAAAATTTCAAATTCTATGCCGCTCCCCGATTGAAGAATGGCTATATCCACCTTGATTGTCATCATAACTTGATTGACAAAAAAAAAAACAACAACATAACGTTCGATTATTTTTTTTTTTGTTGATGATGATATAACATATAACTATATATAATAATCGAATTAAATGATTCTTCTCCATTTATGTTTCATTACATCAGCAGATTCAAAAGATAATATCCAACCATCCAATTAGCAGATATTGGACCTTGAACCTTTTTGTTTTTGTTGACAAACAAACCAATAACGAAGCAAATAAAAAAAAAAAATATATCATTATATCACGGGATTCAAATTATCCATCACACAAACAACAGCCCGACTTTTTTTTTATTGATCCGAAAAAAATTTCCAACAAAATAAAAAAGCATCATATTCTTAAATTCCAGGAACATTCATTACTTGAAGAATTATGCCAACCATTTTTTTAAAGTGTTTATAATGAAATAATTGATGTATAATATACAAGTGTTTTTTTTTGTATCAATCAACATTTTTTGTGACTTAATTAGCTTAAAATATTATTATTATTGTGCCCACATCTCATTCACACCGTAAACAAAATATTTGATGGTAAAATATATTGGTCGATTGTTGATCCTGTTGTGTATTTATGCATAATAACAGGCTGTATGTCGTTGTTTTTTAGTGTTAACTCATTGCATATACACGATACCAACCAACCAACTAACCAGTAATAACAACCACCGAACAACCAACCGATCGAACCAAACGCCAATGTGGTGTGTGTGGATAACAACAAATGTAAATTGTGTGTGTGTGTGTGTGTGTGTTTGTAATTTTCAACATTGTTTTATATATGGGGCGTTTCCCATTTGGTGAGTTGGATTGTTTTTCATTGAATTTAATTGTTGAATTATTTTTTTTATTTAGAATTTCAGATTTTCATCACAGGTGACACGTATACACACATCTTTTCATTATATTGAAAGTGTAAAGATTGATTTTCAAAATCTATGAAACCGTAACATTCCAGAATCATAGTAAATTCAATCAATTTTATTTCATCAATCATCATTGAATCATTTTATTCATTCTTTTACATAAATATCTATTTTTTCTGGAAATTTTTGTTCATTCATTCCAGAAATTCTGAAAGTTTATGGTAAGTTTTTTTTTATAATGTAAACATTTGATTTTTTCACACTTTATCAATTGTCAGAATATTTCATAAATTATGTGGAATTTCAATTTTTTTTAAATCTTCTTTTTGATTTGATTAGAATCCTTTAATACTTGAAGTTTTTGAATATTATCATGGTATTTTCAATTTGATTTTTTTTCCTATTCGAAATGGCGCCATGTAAATAAAAATTACTTAATAGACAGAAGCAGTAATAGCTTGTCATTATCAACATCGAATCTTTCTTTTAAAAAAAAATTGAATGATATATCTTGTCTTTATCATCATTATTGTTGTTGTAGTGGTTGATGTCTTTCACCTTTTTTTTTTTTTCGTTGTTGTTGATGATGCACAAAAAATCTCAGCATCATCATTGTTGCAATGATAAAATGGCGACAAATCTAAACTTGATATGATGCTGATGATGATTTTGGCCTTCTTGGCATGTATTATATACGCATATAATTACATAATATACATGCATAGACCTTTTCTCTCTCTCTCTCTGTGTGTGTGTGTGATAATAACCCTTTTGATGACATGTGAAAAAACATTTGGTCAAAATACTTAAGGTTATATAATATGGAATAATGAAATGCCTTGAATGAATTGAAAAACAATGAATCTTGTGTTGGTGGTCTTTTTAATTTTCGTTTATTTTTTTTACAAGATAATACCTTGTTTTTATTATTATAATATTAACATTACTCTATACATTTGCTGATTTTCAGGAATGATGATGATGATGATGTGGTATGTACAGAATTAGAAGAAGAGGCAGAAAAAACCCACGCATACTCTTTTTATATGCTTTTTTCAATCATTCAAGAAAAAACCAGAAATAATATGTAAGAAAAAGTTGCATGGCGCCTTTTTTTTTGTTCATCGTCATTGAGACTTGAGATATGAAATTGGTTTTCATTCTCCACTATAGGAATTTTAGGATGAAAACGTTGGCATCAATTCGATAGTATGGCATTGATGATGATGATGGTGGTGGGTGTATAAGTTTGGTCATTGAAAAATGTTTGAAAAAGAGCTACTTTTTTAACATCATATCAAACAATGTGTGTGTGTGTGTGTGTGTGTGTATGATGGAATGGATGAGTAAACGGCATTCATTTAATGATGATAAACTATGAATAATGATTGTGATTAGTAACGAAAATAAGAAAAAAAATTTTGTGATGGTACATTTTCGGTTCAAGATGATGATGATGATGATGAAGATGGTTGTGGGCAATTTATTATTTTCATCCAATTTAGTATACTCGGCTCCGTTGACGGTTGACGCACGCATATGATCTATTCTGTTTTTACCTTTGGCTATTTGAGATTTTTGCTATTTTATTTTATTTTTGTCTATTCTGTCCCGGAACCAATATTATTATTATGGAATTGAATTTGAGAATATTGTTGTCGTGATGTCAAAAAGAAATAAAAATAGAAAAATTTGGCTTCAACTTGTTTTTATTCATTACATTTTTTTTTTTGATTTCTCAATTGATGATTTGGGCTTTTCTCTTTTGTTTTTTTTCTCTTTGTTGTGTGTGTTTGTATGTTCGATATGATGATATATGATGATTGAATAATTCTTTGGTTTTTTTTGTTTTAGCCTGTAGCTAATAATCATACTAATAATGATTAGAGATTCATAAGTTCATAGTTCATTTATTTATATGGCTATTCTTTAGTTGTTGTTGTTGGCTGGCTGGCTGGCTGGTTGATTGTTGTTGATATTTGATGGATAGTTGATAGTTTTTTATTGACGTTGGGTGTGTCTTGTATATGATGATGGCGGTGGTGGAGGTGGTGGTATCTGTATATGTGTGTGTGTGTGTTTTCTTTTCTGTATGAGAATGGCCAGTTGAATCTAGTTTTTCATCATCATCATCATCATGATCGTTGCTTGTATTTGGTGTCCATATATTTTTTTTTCTTTCATTCATTATATATAAATTATCTTTGAGATTGGCGGCGTTTTTTTTTTGGTCTCCACAACCTATCCGTATTCGTATGTTGATTTTCATAGGTGTGGTACACAAATTTCCTTCCACCATTTGCAGTCATTCAGTTTTTTGTTCGATAAATTCGAATCGAATTTAGTGTGGTGGTATGGTCTCTCTCTCTCATTGGTGGCTGTTGTTATTTGTTGATATATGTTGGAGCCAAATGAATGATGAAAACAAAACAAAACGAAAAAAAAAATCGTGCAATCGACCCAAATGTATAAGGCCAAGTTTTTTTTTCTTCAATTCAAGATTATTCAATACTAAATTTTGTTGAATGAAAAAAAAAATTTAAATGATGCTACGATGATACAAAGAATATGTTGATGACATCAGCATAGGCTGGCATAACATAGGCGTGGTGCTTGAATTATTTTTTCCCATTTTTATTTAATGGAAATCATTTCGTCGTTAGTCGTCGTCTTTGATGAAATCATTGCATTCTTTATCATATCATTGCCATAACATAATAATCCATTGTTATGTAAATCGATAATTAACAGCTTTTATTTATTTATTTATTTATCGAATGTTTTGTTTCTGGTTATTTTTTCAATGAATTTTTTCGGTTTAAAACTAATATAATAATTTTTACATTCAATAATCAACTGGTGACGACATATAAAATAACCATGCCATTATATCAATATTTTTCTCCATAAAAATGTATGTTGTTTTGGTCATCATCATTTTTTAATATATTGTTGATCATTTAGCAATGTGAATGGATAGATTTTTTTTTCCTTTCTACTACTATTGATGTGGTGATATAGTATTCAGGCATCGAATATTTGTGACAAAAGCCTGTTTATAATTATTTCACTGTTGTTGCTGGCATTGAAGATGTATTTCGCAACGTATTGGATTTAGATTTTCATTTTAATGTTTTTCGATGCCTTCACTCTGTGTGTGTGTGTGTGTGTGTGCGTTATTTCCATATATATTGTATTCCGAAATGTCACACAAGCACACACAAAATGTGAATGATTCGTTGATGGCCAACAAGTTTGGATAAATTATCGTTCAATGGTTTGGGTTCATTGGTGGTTGTTTTATTAATTTTTTTTTTTTTTGAACGAAAATCTATCTACAATTTTGTAACCATACACTTGTTTGTGTGTTCAAAATTTTGTTTCGTTTTCAGTTTTTTTTTCTAAAGTTTTCATATGTTTTTTTAAAATATTAATTTGTAACTAATGACAAATTCTGATGTTTGTTTTCTATTTTTTCTTTTATTTAGGTCTGTCAATATATATAAAGTTTACAACTTTCCGAATTAAAATAATTCCGGATCAAAACTCCATTTTGATAATAATCATTCGTTCTTGGTAACGGAATTATCATAATTAACACAACACCTACATATTTTTTTTTTTGATCTTTTTTTTCAACGATCAATTCTTCAACGCCTCATTTTCAAATAATAATATTAACAACAACAAATACTTCAACAACAACAACAATAATATAATAATAATAATAATAGAAAAAAAAGAGATATACAAAAACGAACTTCGACTTTTAAACCGCCCGAATATTTTCATGAACGACGACTACAGCAACAACAATTGAAGGCACCCATTTTTTTTACCTGCGTTTGTTTTCGTCGTTGAATCAAGAAAAAAGAAAGAAAGAAAGAAAAAACAAGGACAACATATCATATAATAATAACCAGCCGACGCCCAATAATCGCGAAAAAAAACTTGCTGATATTTGTCCAACATTTTTTTTATATTATAAACAGCAACAGTAGTAATCGAAACAAAATCACATGCAAATAAAAAAAAACGCAAATTTTTTACTTTAAACGGGTAAAGAAAAAATCAAATGGTGTCCATATGTTTAGGTGATGATGACTTCAGCTTCGAACCTTGCCGTTCGACGTATCAACAAAGGCAATCAACAACAACAACAACAACAGCAGCAACAAAGGCGACGAAATTGTACAATATCTTGGATGTCTAATCAACAACAGTTAAACGGTGATAATAATAATAAACGAATTGTCGCTAATCATCATCAAACGACAACAAAATCATTAAAGAATTTAAATTATCAATTAAATCAAAATCTAAAAACAGTTACAAATAACGGTTTGATTAATAATAATATTGTTTCAAATAATAATAATAACGATTATTATTACGACAATTATTATCAACAACCGCAACAACAACAACAACAACAACAACAACAAGAATATTTTGATACATATTCAAATCCAACGGCAATATCAACAAGTGGTTTCAGTGGTGGTGGTGGCGATCATCTAAGCATTGGCTGCCAGAATACTGTTCAACAATCGTCCAAAACCGACATATCCACAGATAATTAAATATAAAAGAATAACCACTGAATCATCTAGTGGTGGTGGTGTTAATAAACGATCATTAATATTAAATTCAACAACCAACGGAACTATTGCACAAAAACGAAAACGACAACGACAACAGCAGCAACCAAGTTGTCGAATGACATTTACAAATAATAATAATAATCAATTTATTGATACAATACAATATACGACGACAACAGCAACAACAACAACAACAACACAGATGTTCCCTTGTTGTTGGAACGGTTGTCAAGAAAGTTTTACCAGTGCCAATGCATTGCGTAAGCATTTGGATTTACATGTAAATGAATTGGAACAACAATTCACAATGACAGCTGTGATGTTGGTACGTGAAGCGGCCATGCGTGGCAATAATAATAGTACTAATAATAACAATTCAAATGCAAATGATAATTCCACGACAACCAATTCATCAGCAACAAATTCCAATTCCAATCAGCAATTAAATAATAATAGTAACAATAATATTGATCATCATCAATCGACAATGTCGAATCATCATATGATCGATAGCTCCGGTGGTGGTGCTAGTGGAACGGATGATCATGGCCATCAAGTTATCGGTGTAGATGATGATGAGGAAGAGGAAGATGATGATGAGGAAGATGATGAAGAAGATGTATACGATGGTCTTACTACCGGTGGGATCACACAACAACAACATTCGCATGCAACAAGTTTATTGATTACATCACAGCATGATGGTGTCGGTGGTATGGTTGGTGATAATCATATGAATGATGAAGATGATGAAGATGATGATGGTGATGATCAATCATTAGTTGATCCAACACAATTACTAGATAATCATTGTATGACAAATACAACGAATAATAATAAGATCTCAAATAATCATCTTATATCAAACGGTAAGCTGCTATTATTTACGATTTTAAAAATTTAATATTTCTTTTTCTTTTATACAGGTTCACAGCAAATATCTGTTAGTATCAGCAGTAATGGTGGAAGTCGTAAACGAACAAATAACATCATTGATCCATCCAAAAAGTATGGTTTTCATGTTCCCTTTTCTGTTATTAATTGATTTTATTTTTTTTTACAACAGAATGATTAATTCATCATCACCTCAATCATCAACGAATTTAATGTTGATCAATTCCTCATCATCGAATAATCATCATCCTCATCATAATCTACATCATCCATCACAATTATCCGTAACTGTTTCTGGTAGTGGTGGAACCATATCGAATAAACGTATGAAAATTATTAATGCCCAACAACAATCGACAAATATGATGATGCAACAACCTCAGACACCAGCACGATCGAATCGTAGACAACAACAGCAACATCATCCAAATCAATTACCATGTCAAACGGTCGAGATTGTTCCAGCCAATGCAAAATCAGCGAAAACGAATAACAACAACAACAATAATAATATAACGATCGTATATCCAAGTATATCACCACGTAATTATGTATGTCCGGTGCCATCGTGCAATGCTGCATATACGAAATCCAGTCATCTAACAGCACATATGCGACGACATACAGGCGAAAAGCCATATGCATGTGATTGGCCTGATTGTGGTTGGCGTTTTAGCCGTTCGGATGAATTATCACGTCATAAACGATCACATACTGGTGAAAAAACACATCTCTGTCCATTCTGTTCAAAAGGTTTTTCAAGATCTGATCATCTAAGTAAACATTTACGAGTTCATCGACAAGAATTACCCGATAATTTTGATGTTCGTCATATAATAAAAACATCGCGAATGTCTGGTACACAGCAACAAGCTTCACCATTACAACCACAGGTCACAATGACCGTTAAACATGGTACTGGATCATCAACATCAAGTGATAATAATAATAATAATTCCAATTTACTTATTGATACTAATAATCATCATCAAATATCACATTCTTCACAGATTCATTTACTACAGCCAAAGGTGACGATTAAATTGGAGAATGAGAATGATTAATGCCCACATGGATTACGATAATTGGATATTTTACCATCGTTACGCACATTGAATCGTTCCCGCATCCAAAACTTTATCATCATATCATCGACAAAACGAATGTTTCGAACCAAAATGATGTCGTATTCTTTTTCGATTTTTCTCTACTCATTTTGATCATCATTATATTCACACATCATCATCATATAATCATCTCTTATCATTTTTCTCACACACACACACACACATGCTTATATTTTTTTTTCTCATTCAAAAGTTCCAGATGTGGTTCGATTATATTATTAATGCTACAGACTTTTTAAACCTCCTGATTATTACATGCATCTGCAAATATACATACACACACACACCAACTCTCGTATATAACATTCCATTTCTTGGATTTTTTTTATATTGATCAAATGATGATGATGAAAAAAAAATTCCCATATCCGTCGACATTGCTTGATTTTTTTATGTAAATTTTATGATATTTTTTTTTTGATTGGTAAAAAAAATCACCCCGAATCCGTCATATTAATAACCAATACACAGCACAATGTTTATTTTTTCTAATTTTTGCCTCATAGTGTTTTTTTTTTTTTTTTTCATTCATTCATTTTCACCTTTGATTTATTCCGATTAATTAATATATATAAATATTCAAAAACAAATTCACATTTCTTTGTCATTTTATTCATTTTTTTTCTATTTTATCAATTAGAATTTTTTTTTGTATGTATAAATGAGATCTCATTCAAACACATACACACACACACACACACACATACAATGTACAAAAAAAAATAACAATACAGGATATCAATAAAATTTGGAGAAGAAGCTCAATCTCATTGATGGATGGATGGCTTCCGAATTATCACCATCATCGATGGATGGTCATGGATCATCATTGTTTTCGATTATATAACAACAACAAACAACAACAACAACATAACCATAAACATTCCAATAAATTTTTCATTTTGTTTTCCTTGGTTTCGTCATGAAATGAAATGAATATTTTTTAATTTATAATGATTTATTTATATTTAACAATCGCTTTCCCTGTACACACACACACACACCGACAAACAAGAGCTCAAAGAGTTCGATCCAAATTGTCTCAAATATTCAAATGATAAACACACACACACACACACACATCAGACTAATATCTGTGTATGAATGATGATTAAAAAAAAAAAAAAAACAAAAAAAAAATTTTCCATTCATAAATTTATCAAATGAAAAATCGGAAATGAAAAAAAAATTCATATCTGATATATAATATTGTCCTTGGTATATAATCGATCGATCTGAAGATCACCACGTACACACACCACTATCCTTATTGAATGTCACACACATGAATGAATCATCGTCGTATAATTGAATGTCAAACGAATTTTTTTTTATTCTCAAGTTTTCTGTTTATTGTCGTTGTTGTTGATCCAAATCGAATCGATTGATAAATATTGAAAATGAATGGTGAATTCTTCACATCTTTTGTTTTTTTTGAACATTTTCATTTTGTTTTGTTACAACCAATTCATATATTGTTGATGTAAATTGATTTATGATAATGACGACGGGATGTTCAATTGATGATGATGATGGTGGTTGACATTGAATTTATATTTTTTTTTTTTTTTGCGTTTTGCGTTTTTGTTTTTTCCAGTATTTCTAGTAACCTTCGTTAACCACATACACATTACATGCAAAACCTGATGAATCGATAGATTCACAAGTGTTTGTGTTTGTGTTTTTGTGTGTATAATGAATGAATATGAAAATGTTTTGTTTTTTCTTTTTTTTTTTTGTTTTTGTTTTTATCGATTTCGATTTTGTCGAATGGCAAATTGTTTCAAATATAAATATGGTAATGAGCAACTTTTTGAACAGGTTGACTGGTTCACAAACATTCATATGGATTCATTCATCAATCAATCAATCAATTATAAATTGAAAATGATTGATGAACCCGAGTTTCACTTTTTTTTCACATAAAAAATCGATTTTTAAGATGATTGGTTTTTGTTTATATTCTCTTACTGATTCACATTCATTTATCATCCGTTATGGCCACCGTATTGTTATATATGGCCATTTATTATTGTTGTTAATGTGTGTGTGTGGGGGGGTTGTTGGAAAAAACAAATTTCACCGCTAAATTAGATTCATGATAAATTATATCATTACGCAGAATTCAAAATCAAAATCAAAATTTCAATTACTATTACAGAACATATATATAGTATATATTTATGAATTCATTGAAATATTACGTTTTTCATAGGAAATTTTTGTTTTTCTGTTGAGATTGCAACAACTGAAATGAAATTTTATATAAAACAAAACAAAATATATTAATTACGAAACTATCGGTTGCTTGTATGTGTGTGTGTGGGTGATCAAACGTCAAAAAAAAAAAACAAACGAAAAAAAATATTCATGAATGGCAACCAAAAAAAAATATAAAAAAAAATTTCCTTTTCTTTGAATTTTCAAATTTTTTTTTAAAATTCAATTTCAATGCAATAGATATTGCATGTCATCATCATCATATGATATATTGTGATTAAATACAATCACAACCAGAAAAAAAATGAATAAATAAAAATTCTTTATGGACACCCAAAAATAGATATCATCATCATCATCATCAATTATTATGATTATAAAAATGATGGCCACACTGTGTTAATTTTTTTTCATGTTAAATACCTCTTCTTCCTTTCCCCTCAATAATAATCAAATGAAACACACATTCATATACACACACACACACACACACACAGAATCGACCTTGTAATAATAAAAAATTATTTCTAATAATTCTATGAAACGATCATTGATCAATTCATGATGATGATCATCATCACAAGTTTCAACGCATATTCATTTTCTTATTATTTTTTTTTTTTTTTTTTGTTCAACCATCATCAACTTATCATTATAAATGAATTTCATCAGAAATTTTTTATGACACGTAGAGAGAGAGAGAGAGAGAGAGAGAAAGGATTAAATCACAATTTCGATGATGATGGCGGTATTACATTTGAATAAATACAAGAAATAACAAAAAAAAATATTCTGGTGAAATAAAAAAAAAACAAAACAAGCAAGAAAAACAAAAACTTCCTGCATTCTTGACAATGAAAATTTCTTTCAATAAAGAAATAAACATTTTGAAAAAATGGCCGAATCAATTTTTGTTGTTGTTGTTGTTGTTGTTAAATAAATGAATCTATCCAATGGAATGGCAGCCAGAAAAAAATTTTCTCTTTTTCTCATCATCATCATCATCATCATCATCATAATCATCTGTTCTATGTTGAATCACAACCTTGGAGAATAGTTTGGATGCCATTTGTTGTTGAATTCATACATGATGCATAATAAATTCAATGCATGGATGCACATATTTGTGAATAAAATATTTGTCAAAATTTTGTCAAATAATCAAAGTTACTGGTGTGGGAGTACGAAGAGATAGAAGGTTCAACAACAATTCAAAAAAAAAAAAAATAAAAAAAAATTTCGCCATTAACTGAATTGTTCAATTTGATTGTTTTTCACACACACACACAGACACTTATCACACATCAGTCATATTGTTCATCATTGTTGCCATTAACATCATCATCATAATCGTTGATTATATATATGGTACATGTGTAACCCTTTCCATTTCCTTTCTTAATAATTGTTGTTTCCCATTTGAATTTGTGTTTGAATATATATAGTAAATTTATTTGGCTTATAGACTGATGATTGATTGATTCGGTCGATATTATTTAAATTTTAAATTCATTCGTTCATTTGAACTGTTGTTGATTGGATCAATTATCATTAAAGAATTGATTGCTGCTGCTGCTTGTTACACAAATTATTATCAGCTACCAGATAATAATTTATGTGTTGACCTCGAAAATTTTTCCAATTTTTTTTCATCACCATCATCATCATCATCATCATTATCATTTTTAAGAAATGAATTTTTCTTTCTCCAAAATGGGACATGTAATTTGATTCCATAATATGACATCCATTCATGTGTGTTTAAATGTGATTTTTTTTTTTTTGATCATTATCACCACCATCACCACAACCAACACCACTATCAACATGAAGAAATTTTGAAATTCATTATTACGTTTTCTTTTTTTTCCAATTAATAATTATCATCATCATCATCATCATCATCATCATCGTCGTTATAATCGAGATTCCATTTGATTTATAATGAGAATTTTTTTTTTTTTTCAGGTAAACGTATACGGGAAAAAACTGGAAAAAACCTGTTGATATTATTATCATTATCATCATCACATCTATTATAAATGATAATTACATTACATATATAAGTATAAATTCATTGTTGTTGGAATTAATTTGAGAATATTCACTATTCACTCCAGTTTTTTAGTAACAACAAATCGCATGGTCATGACATGGTTCATAAAATTTTCTCAAACACATCTACATTATCGATAGTACTTCTTAGTAGTGTAGTGACCTTGTTTGATTCAATTTTTTGCTTTTCAAGTTTTTTGTTTTTCAAAGATGAATTTCGAGTCTGAATTTTTTAATTTCAATAAAAACCTATCATCAGCCTATTTCCATTTCGCTAGACGTTAACCCCCTACTACTACTATCATCAATGGTTCGATTATTCACATTTGTATGGTGGTGGTGGTATTGAATTAAATTCAATTCATCAATTCTGAAATTGAATTTTTTGAACATGAAACAAAATATTAATTACAGTCAATATACAATCATATAAATAATAAATACTTACACCAATTGTGTTTGAATATTAATTTTTTTTTTCGTATGTGTGTAGTATACTTGTACATCCTGTTACTGATTGCTAATCACGTTTGTATTCGTGTTGTATAAGCCACGACCATTTTTCCGCTTTTAATGATAATAATAATAATAATTCAATGTTTTAGTTTCCAATATTGGAAACAACAACAACAACAACAACAACAACGGCGACTACGACGACGACGACGACGACGATCATCAAAAATCATCATCCAAATCAAAATCAAATCGATCGTGGAGTTTGAGTGAGAGAGAAAAAAAAAGAACAAAATTTGTTGATCTCGACGATGACGACGACGACAATCACAGAAATTCAACATTTTTTAACAAATCGATCAAACACACACACACACAAAACACACAAAACAGTCAAAACAGACAGACAGACTGATCATTTCTATTTCGGCACCAAGTGGCGGCATCGAGGTTTTTCAGGATCGACAACTGTTTTTTTTTTACTTCTGACTTCCTCCGCTCACTCTGTTCTATTTGTTTGTATGTTCGATGTTGTTCAATGAGATCAACTTTCAATCATTTTTTTGTTTGTTCTGTTCTGTTCGAATTAATTTTTTACTTCACTTTCATTTGGTTGATTATCGTTGCCAGTGGCAACCCATTTTTATTTTTGTTGCATTTAATTTTTTGTTTTTGTTTTTTTTTTTTGATTCAATGACCTTCCACCCCTTCTTCTTCATATTCGCTATTCGCTTGTTTTTTTTCTTGCATTTAATGATCCAAATTTTGATTGCAAATAAATTAATCATTCAGATTAATGAATGATTGAACAAGAAAAAGAAAAAACGTACGTACAAATGAACTAAGATTAAATGACTTCCTTGTTAAGTTATTTTTTTTTTTTTTTCCTACTCGAATGTGTTTCGCAAATGATAATCCGAAAATAAATCCAAGTTCAACTACCCGCCTTCTACAATATACACACACACAACAACACAACACACAAGGTCTATTTTGAGTTTGTTTATCCAGACTTTTTTCTTCGTGTAATGAACAGGAAAAAAAATCATCATCATCATCATCGTTGTTGTTGTTGTTGTTGTCATTGAAAAAACCATCAACCTCCACATTGAAAACATACAAATTGATTCAAAAAAAAAAAAAAAAAATATTCCATGAATTCATGTTTTTTTCTGCTGATTGGTAATGATGATGATGATCATCATCATGATCATCATTATCGTTAATGATCATTTTATGAATGCATTATATTCTGTTTTCTTCTGATACTGATCGATTGTTTTTCATTTAAATTTTCAAATTTGAAACTTGTTGTCGCTTGTCCTCATCCTCATCGATCGAATGTTTTTTTTTATATTCATTTGAGGTGATTGAATTTTTTTTTGTCATTTGTCTCCATTCAAATCGATTGTTCAATCAAATAGTAATGGATCTTCATATCATTAACTTGTTGTTGTGAATGTAAAAAAAAAATTGGGGAAAAAATTTCGGCAGCAGTCTGGTTTTTTCTGGTAATAAAACAAAACAAAACAAAAAAATTTTTTCCTCCTCTCATCAATTCAAACTCATCAAACATGGTCTGACCATCGCCAACACACACACACACACACACAATCAATTTCAAAGCTAAAAAAGGAAATTTTTTTTTTTCGTTAATCCTTTCGGCAATTGTGTTTGTTATTTTTGGGTTTTGTTTACGAATCGATTATTGTTATTGACATTCAAAAAAAAAAAAAAATGTAAAATGTAAAAAAAAACATCAACAACAGGTTGAATTGGAAAATTATTATTATCATCATCATCATCGTCATTATAATCGAATCATTGAAACACACGCACACACACACTCATGTGTCATGTGTAAATCGAATGTTGTTTGTTTGTCTTTTTTTTTTTTTGGTTCGATTTTGCAACAAAATATCAATCAATTAATTTTTGTTTTTGGTTTGTTGTTTACATGTTTTTTTTTCTCCATGTGATCACATTTTTCAACATCATTTGTTGAATACAAGTTTTGCTAATAAATAGCCATGTTTTTATGGCGAAAACACGCCATTCTGTTGTTTGATATTTCATTTTCACTTTGTTTTGTTTTGTTTTGTTTGAATTTCATTCTAACTAGATATCAATTCTTTTTTTTATTGTTAATTTTAACAGATTTTGACAACAAACAATGTTCAGTTCATTTTTTCAAATGTTATCGTTCAGTGATAATTTGAATAAACATTTGACATCTTATCGGTGAGAATAAAATAATCGGTCATTGTCGGTTTTTTTTTCTTATCATCGAATTTATAAATGTGTGTAACCTCGATTTTTTCTTAAAATGATTGCCAGATTTATTTCTCGATGATTGCACGATTTCTTTTTTTTTATTGATCAATGAAATTTGTATTTACATTTTTTTTTCTGGTAAAATAATTTGTGATATCAACAAGTGCGATTTTTTTTCACTCTTTCATTCTTCATCATTTGTATTGAAACCAGTCAAATTGCAAAAAAACGGCAAAAATGAATGCTGAAAATTTCAATCATCCAGATGATGACCAATCAAATCAAAATGAACATCATTCATCTAATCAACAATCATCAATCAATTTATCGGCTATAATTCCACAAACAAATATCGGTAATTATAGGGATTGCTGTGATCCAGATAATAATTCAAATGATCAAACAACATCGACCATTTCATGTTCGATCCAAATGGATCAAATTAGTACACAACATAATAATTCATCATCATCATCATCATCATTATCGACAGAACAATCATCATCAACAACAATGGATCACCATCATCATGTTGCTAATATGAATAATAATGATAATCATAGCTATCGATCTCGTAATAGTATAACAAGTATATTAAATTTTTATCGTCGTAATTCCAATAATTTAATCTTTGATGCAAATACATTTAAACAAGTTAAACGTCTTTATTGTGGTATGTTATTGGTTGCCATTGCATATTCTGTTACAATGGTTATTATGATGATGGTATTATATAAATCATTACCTGAATCAACATATAATAATTATCGTCAACAACAACAATATCATCGAATAAATGAACATAAATCTGAGTCACAATCACAACCAAAGATTACGACTGTAGCTACGATTCTAACTGATAAAGAATCAGTGTCAGTATCATCATCACTACCACCATCACCACTATCACCACCAGTAGAAAATGAATCATCGGAAATAATAAAAAATAATCGTCTATGGATGATGGATACATCAGGACAAACATTATATCGCCATTATAATCAACAATATGGTAATCGACAAGCATCTACATCATATGTAAACCGTACACAATTGGATCAAGTAATTGCCATAAATTTCCTAACAACCATTCTTTATATAATGGCATTCTATGCTGCACAACGTGAATTCTATCATCTTACATTGGCATTCACAACTACATTGGCAGTTAGTATGAGTAAGTTTGTTTGTTTGTTTGTTTGTTTTTTTTAAATTCTAATATTGGATTTTTATATTAAAATTTTTCAAAATTTTATAAAAACAGTTATATCATCGGTTAAAATATTATCCGAAGGTTCAAATTTTCCTAACAATCTAATGGGCATTTTATTACGAATGTCAATCGTATTGACAGCATTAATATATTCATCACAGATACGAAAGAAACAAATTTTCATAAATCAAGCACAAACATTTTGGTTAAATCATCCACATACAACTGCAATGCTTCATGATGCAACAACTATTAATAATAATAATAATAATAATTCTTCATCAACAACAACAACACAACAGCAATCTAGATCAACAAGATCGGCAGCTGTACAGCTTATACAAGAAATATTCGGTGTATCACCATCAACCGGTACTTTAGTGGCAACACATCCATTTCATGCTACTGTTGCCGCTACAGCTTCATCATCACCAAGTAAAACGGAAAATATTATCATACAAGAATATCAAGATCAACCACCCGATTATGAAGAAGCATTACGTTGTCCAATGCCGGTTGTTAGATCACTTCCAGTACAAACACCGATTACATATCCAAGATCAGCACTAACAATAACATCATCAACATTATCTTTAATTGCACCACCATCATTTGATCAATTAAAAACATCTTCATCAATAACAACATCATTGCCATCGTAATCGATAAAATTGTACGGTGATCGATTCTATTTTTATTTTTATTTTCCAAAATGAAAATAAAATCATTGACGTAATGACATGAAAATTTATTTTACACACATGATTTTGATGGTGTCGATTTGATCAGAGAATAGGTTGAAAAAGAGTGAATAAAGAAAAAAAAATTTGGGAAAAAAGTCCTTTCCACACCATTCAAACATTTGAATTGATTCTACGCATAAAAGAAAAACATTAATCTTATATCAGATATATATAATAACACAAATAGATTTTCCATCTTCATGGTTTTTCGGTTTTCATCCATTTTATTAGTCTTTTTTTTTCTCAACGATAACGATATTTGTACATATTTTGAAATGATGATTGAAATATAATAAATAAATTAATTTTATACATTTGAAATTAACAAATTGAATTGATTTTTTCTGTTTGAAACTTTTTCGAATTCATAATTCTCGAACCCTCATTTCTTTATTCGAATCGATAATCGATTGTTTGACTATCGATATTTTTTTAATAGTGAAATTCGAATATTTGTCCTTGTATTATTTTGGGGATTTTTTCTTGTACATTTAATTTTCAATGGAAAAAATATCGATAAATTTTAAAGCTCCCTATTGTCGTTGTCCAACGAAAACATTTTATTGATCACGGATGTCATGACAATGTATTACAATACACATTACAACATTCAATTACATGATGATGATGATGATGACGATGATGTTCAAAAAAAAAAAAAAAAATATCCTTGATCGATTTGATGGATGAATGAATCGATTGATTGATTGATTGATTTGATTAACCAAAAAAATAATATTGGCGTGAAATCTTGTTTGCTTTACATGGACTTGATTTTTTTGTTGTTGTTGTGTTTTATCTATAAAAATCAAACAATCATTGTGGATAATTTTCACGTGTCATCTATTTGAATTTTTTTTTTTGTCATACATTCATTGGCCATTTTGTTGACATTGAAACATTACGGTTGGATTAATGTATTGAATCCGTGGATTTTTTAATAATAATAATAAGATCCATGATGATGGATTGTGGCCGAAACGAAGAGAGAAGAAAGAAGAGAAAAAAAAATTTTCCCATATATAACCTATATATAGGAAAATTAAATTGAATTTTGAAGAAGAAGAAGAAGAAAAAAAAAAATAACACACACGTACAACATTGAATTTGGATTTTTTTTGAATACGTAAATAACTGACGTAACATTCCTGATTCAATATTCGATATTTATAAAGATAAAGAATGAATTGGTATATATTGATAATCGCACATCATGTTCTATTATTATTATTTATTAATAATAATCTTGTACATTCATTTGTTCTAATTTTGTAATCCTATTTTTTTACATTTTATCCAATAATAATCATAATCATAATCATAATTACATATTACTATTTTTATATTTATTGATTCATTGAAAATTTTGAACTAAAAAAATATTGATACAACATGAAAATCAATGTCAATCAATCAATCATTCATTCATTCATTCATTCATTCATACATGATAATCTAGGGAACAAAAAAAAAACAAAATGAAAAAGAAAAGAGAAATTTTCTGATTAAATCAAATTAATTATTATTATATATCATCATGCATGTGTATGTATGTGTGTGTGTGTGTGTATGCACATATTATGCAGATAATTATCAACATTATTCACACATGGATCAATGATCCCCCCACACACGGCCCTCGTTTACTATTTAGAAAAAAAAATCGGACCTGTTGCTTCAACAACAACACACGTGTATACGTTGTGTGTACATGTTTTTTTTTGTTTATATATCATCATCATCATCATCAATCTAGTTTATGATCATTTTCTTTTTCATTTTCATTTTTTTCCATGGCCAATTTTTTTTTTTCGTTGATGATCTTTATTTTCTACATATTCAACGACGACGACAACGTTTTTTTTACAGGAACTAATTATGGCACTTAAGTAGCGTGGAAAAAAAAAAAATAAACGATAATGGCAGTGATGATGATGATGATGATGATGATAATGCCACCATTCGTCAATTGACTTAAATGGCCATCAATTGTTTATGCGGGCATATGTGGTTGTGACGATCGATAGATGGATGATGGATCCTAGATTCAGATCATCGATATTGTGTATTGAATTGATTTTGTTCTCTCTCTATCTCTCTCGATTTTTGTTTTGTGTACTTTTAATTGGTTTGTTTATTTGTTTGTTTGTAATTACATACACTTGACATTGAACTAAATATTTTTTTGCTTTTTGTTCTCTTCATCGTGACAAACAGGATGGATGTTCAATCCAATTTAATTCATTTTTTCGTTTTGTTTTGTTTTCACTGTTTCTAATATTAGATTTCCATATACAAAATGTTATTCAATTTGAAAAAAAAAATTTTTTTGTTCGTCTGAAAGAAAATCCTTGAATTCAATTTGAGAGGGAAATTTTTGTTGTTGTTGTTGTTGTCGCTGTTGTTGTTATGGATTTTTGTTTCCATTCCAAAATCGTGATTAACAACTGATCAATTGTATTGATTGATTTTGAATTCAACCACTTACCAGTAAAATGATTATTCATATTACTGTCAATGATGATTGCAAATTAAATATCAAAACCAAAAAAAAAAAAAAAATTGCACAAAAGATACAAAGTCTACAAATCAACAGGTAGATTTGAAATAGATTACATACAGACCATCAACAAAAAGTACATTATATTGAAATTGAATTACGCAACAACAACAACAACGACAAGAAAAATGTGTGGCAATTTTTTTTTCTTCTTTTGTTTTCAAGTCAAATTACAATATTAATGATGATGATGATGATGATGACGGATAGCGAACGAAAGAAAAAAAAGGATCATTTGAAACCAGTGGAAAAACAAAAATTGGTAACACCAATTTTTCATTCAATGATGATAAAATATGATATATAAACAGTGACTAATTAAAACATGTATATTTTATTTTATTACCTCATCATCATTATCATATATTGAATTACTGCCACCATTCATTGTGTGTGGTGGTGGTGTGTGTGTCAGATAAAAAAAAAAAATTATTGTTCTAGACGTGTGTGTGTGTGTGTGTGGGGGGGGGGAGATCACGCTATGATCTAGTGTTGTTCTAAACCAGATATAATAGATAATTAGTGGATTGAATAACCGCTGTGCATCTATTAAAATTGCTTACTATCAATGATGATTGTCAGATTAGAAAAATTATAGAAAAAAAAACAAGACAAGACATTTGACTCAATAACAATATTTTCAACGATTGTCAGTCATTGTTGTAGTCATTTTTTGATTGTATATGTCGTTTTTTTTGGTATTAACTTTTGTGTCTGTGTGTCTGGTGTGTGTATTCAATCTTGACATAGATTTCAATTTTTTTTCCTGTTCTGGTTTTCTTGTTTTTTTTTCTGAACCCTGATCATCGAGGTTCAGGTTACCATAGTAGTAGTAGTAGTATATTGAATTCAAGCTGCTAAAGTTTTTATTTTTTTTTTTGACATTCAAACAATCCATCAATCAATCAATCAATCAAACGATTTCATTACTATGATCATGAATGAATGAATGGATGATACTTATGGTGTTTGTATATCGATACCGTTGCCGATGGATTCCATCATCATAACATGATCAACAACATGAAGCTTAATGAGCACGTTTTTAATGCATGGATTTTGTTGTTGATGATGATGATGATCGATTAATAATTGATCAAATTGACGTTTGATGGATTGAGTTATTTTGTTTAAATTTTTTTTTTTTACTTTGGATTTGAAATTTTTAATTTCTTGTTTACGGCATTCACATTTGTTTTGTTTTATTTTTTTTTCGTATGTTTAATTTGTGAATGAATAATTGAGTACAATACATGATGGTTGTAATCATTGATAATAAGCTACCATCATCACCATCACCACCACCACCACCACCAACAAGAACATTATCAACAATAACATCAATATCAATGATATCATTGAATAATAATAATAATGATAATGATAAATGGACAAAATCAACATATAATCGGCGATTAAAATGTCCATTTCGTTTTATTATTGCATTGATGGGCATAATAGCATCAATATTATTATGTTCAACACGTTATAATGTCAGTATTGCCATTGTATCGATGGTAAAAGATTTAGCATCAACAACAACATCAAATAGTTATTGTCATCGTATTGATCCGGATTATCCAAATCGTTTGGAATCATTATTTCGTTCATCATCATCATCATCATCATTATTATTATTACAATCATCAAATGATACCACAATATCACAAGAGGTAACATGGACAGATCTGGAACAAGGAATAATTCTTGGTGCATATTATTATGGTTATGCTGCTACACATATATTTGGTGGCCGTTGGTCTGAACGTTATGGACCAAAATGGATAACAGCTATTGGATTGATTGGTGCAGCCATTTTGAATGCATTTCTTCCGATTGGTAGTAATTTTTTTGTATTTGCATCGCTTAGGTAATGTCTATATATATATAAAAAAAAACTCTTTGCCAATTTTTTTCTTTTTAAATTAAGAAATCATTTTGTTTTCCTATTTGGAATTTTCCATTATTACTCTTAATGACATTCCCTTATTTTTTTTTGCCTTTTTCTCACCCATTATTATTTTGTATAAAAAAAAGAGTTTTAATCGGATGTTTTCATGGTGTCGTTGAACCGGCCTTATTTTTTATGTTTAAAAAATGGTTTCCACCTAATGAACAAACAATTGCATTATCACTATTATTGATTGGTAATGCTCTTGGACTCATTTTAAATGTACCGATTTCAGCAGCTATTACACATATTCCACTTCCGTCATCAATACCAGATTGGTCATTATTATTTTTTGGTGGTAGTGCATTACATCTAATATGGCTAGTATTATGGATTATTCTAGTGACGGATATGCCAGAAAATCATCGCCGAATTTCTGATAAGGAAATTTTTTATATTCGACAAAATTCTCATAATGTTCTTGAAACGGTATTGCAAATTTTTTTTTTATTTGAGAAAATTCTAAGGCGATTTTGTTGGGATTTTTAAATTTAAATTTAAATTTATTTTTTTTCAAATTGTTTATTCAAACATTAGAATCTACGTACAGTACCGTGGCGAAGAATTCTCAAGACAAAAGCATTATATGCATCCATAATGGCTAAACTTTGTTGGTCATTCAATCATGCCATTATTATTGATAATGGACCATCATTTTTGAATAAAATATTCAATTTTAATATGCTCAAAGCATCTGAACATATTGCACTCATCTATACGGTAACCGTTGTTGTATTTATATTTTCTGCATTTTTATTTGCCAAATTAGATAAATGCACAAAATGTTCACATACAAGATTACGGAAATTATTTCAGGCCATTGGTATGAATTTGTTCTTTCGGTATTCATTTTGTTCCTAATTTTTTCCAATTGTTTTTTTTCTGTAGTATTTATTGGTGCATCAGCAACAATGTTTGCCATGGCCAATAGTGGATGTAATCTCCATCTATTGGAAATATTCATCATTATCAATATGGTAACACAAGGTTTTACATCTGTCGGTGAATATCCAATGATCAATGAATTTGCTGGCTATTATTCTGGTACTGTTTATGGTATAACCATTACATTTGATTCATTAGCACGTGCATTAGCACCATTAATCCGTTGTGAACTTGTTAGCCAAACGGATTTGAAAGCAAATTGGGTGATCATATTCTACATAACAGCCGTATTGAATCTAATTGGTTTGATTGTATTCGAATTATTTGCATCAACAACACCAAAACAATGGGCATTGAAACGTGATCTAGTACGAATGATTTCATCAACTAATAATGGCCATATTGAAAGGCCAGTAAAAAAAGAACTGAAATTAGAACTACAGAATCCAAATTATCGTCAAGATATTGATACTGAAACAGATGATTGGAGGCAATTTAAAACTTCTACATTGGTACAATAATTGATGTTTATGGATTTTTGTTGGGAAGTTTTTTTTCCTGATTACTTAAAATATATGAACACACAAACACACACACACACACACACCCACAATTTTCGATGTGATAATCATCGTCATTATTCATCATCATCATCATCATCATCATCATCATCAACATCACCATCATATATCCACATCATCAGCATATATGATTCATATTACTGCTCAAAAAATGTACAATATCTGTCCGAGTAATATATAATAAATTAATATATAGAAAATAAAATCCATTATACAAACATTAATGAAAAAAAAATATGATATTTGGATCCATGATGAAGATGATAGGACACGAATTTCATATTTTCAACTGGGCATTGCAATCTCGATTCAAATTCTTCAATTCTTTCAACATTAAAAAATTGAGTTCCTTTTGGCTATCGAATGTCAATGTTGTGGTTGTTTCTTCTTCTTCTGTCTTTTTTATCCATAAGATTTTTCATTCAAGATGTTTTTCCGTAACATTTTCCATCAATTTGCACAACAAATTGAACATGCACAAGGTTCACAACGTTTTCATGTTTTGTTGGTTTATTTTTCCATTTTATTGGATAATCTACTATTAACTGTTGTTGGTATGTTGAAATATATTTTCCATATTTTCGAATGAAATTTATTTTTATTTTTTTTTTATTTTTTTTATTTTTTTGTTAATCAAGTTCCAGTAATTCCTGATTTTCTTGTTGGACTTCATGAACAACAACGACAATATGATGAATGGAATGAAAATTATCATCATTTCAATGAAACATTTAATGTTCATTTGAATAGAACATTTATTGATCATATGGTAATTGATCATCATTTTGGTATAAATGGACGTTCGATGGCCATTTTAAATCATTATGATCCAAAAACATTTAATACTGAAAATGGTCAAATAGGAACAATATTGTCATCAAAAGCATTTGTACAACTTGTATTCAATCCATTTGTATCGCCCATTATTAATCAACTTGGCTATGAATTGACATTGATTCTGGGAGTGGCCGTTCTATTCAATTCTTGTTTATGTATGTTGTTTAATGTAAATTGTTTCAATTATTAACATGCGAAAAAAAATGTTGTTATTGTTTTGTTGTTGTTGTTGTTGTTGTTGTAAAGTTTCAGGCACTAATTATGATTTTGATGTTTTTTGTTTTCTCTTATTTCAACCTTGTAGTATATCTGATTGGTCAATCGTTTATCATGTTGTTGATACCACGTGCAATGCAAGGAATATCTTCAGCATTGATTGAAGTTTCAGGCATGGCTATGATGGCCAATATGATTCGTGATGAAGAAACACGTATTCGACAGATTGGTTTTTGTCTTGGCGGTATGGCATTGGGCGTTTTAATTGGCTACCCATTTGGAAGTCTTTTCTATGAATGGTTTGGTAAAACAATCCTTTTCAGCATTATTGCCGTATCCATTCTACTATTACTAGGTATTTCATATGTAAATGATTCAAATGAGAATTTTCAATTTTTTTATTTCATCAAAATTATAGTGGCCCAATTAGTGACGATAAATTGGTCACCAACAAATGCACCAACACATTATGATTCGAAAACAATCGATATAATCATCAATTCACGTGTCATATTGTTTATCGGTTTGGAACGGAAAACTAATCTCTTTTTTAATTTTGAATTTTGATTCCAATTTTTTTTCACAGTAATCATATCAATATCAACTGTAACAATGTCATTGTTGGAATCATTTCTTCCAATATGGTTAATTAAAGAGATACGACCACCTAAATGGAAATTGGGCATTGTATTCATACCGGATAGTATTGGATATTTAATCGGTACTAATCTATTCACTTTGTTTGAAATATCATTGCAATATAGGTATGTTTATAATGATTTTTTTTTACAATTTGACATTAAAATTTGAATTTCTTGCAAAACAAAAAGATGGCTATTGGTCATTATTGCCTTGTGGACCATAGGAATCAGCTCATTTATGGTTCCATTGATTCCAAATTTATTGTATTTGGCATTACCACATTTTGGTATTGGTCTCGGTATTGGCACTATTGATTCAACATTATGGCCAATGTTTGCTGAATTAGTTGATGAACAATTTGCCGAACAATATGGCTATGTTTATACAGCATCACAAACAGCATCTTCAGCTGCATATGCATTCGGTCCATTGTTTGGTGGTTTTGTGTTGAATAGAAAATTTCTTCATTTTAAATCTTTAATGCATTTAATTGGTGTTGTCAATATTGCACTTGGATTATTGGCATCAGCTCGACGTCATTCATATGAACATTTTGGTAAGAAAAAAATTCAACGAACATTATCGATGGCCAATATTGATGATAATGATGACGACGATGGTCGACAACAGATGGTGGCACTACAGCAACGATTTACATTATCACAAAATTATCAACGATTCGATTGATGAACAATAAAATAATCAATTTAATTGTAATTAGATAATGTTGCCTGTTTTATTTTCATTTCCACATGTTTACCAATTAATTCTTTCCATTTCATTTCATTCATTCATTCACTTGTTTGCTTGTTTGTATCACGAATTTCCATTAAAAAAAACATTCATTCATCATACGTTTTTCATCAATGTTTGCTTACACTATGAATACACTCAAACAGCATGTACTGCTTCTACCAAAAAAAAAAAAAGAATAATAATGTACAATTTTGACAAATGGAAAAGAATTGTATCCAAGAAAAATAAATAAACTGTCAACGATATTATGGCTTCATTCGGGAATAGAGAATTCAAGCTACGATATGAATTTTTTTTTGTTCAATCAAATCAAAATATATCAGCAAAATTCAATTGATTTTTTCGTTGATTTTTCATATAAACATCGTTATTATTCTTTGTGAAAATACTTGTACATCGGTTTGGTGTTTATTAATACTACAGTATATACTGTAAGTATATGTTATTGCAGTTCATTGATTGTCTAAGTGAAAATTCATGCCAACAGAGATCCTTTGGATATTTGCCATCACAATTCTAGCAACTTTATTCACTCAACATATATATATATACACAGATTATTAAATGGTGAAAATAAAAATGTTTTGAATCTCGAAAAAAAAAAAAATTTACTCAAGTTATTGTTATTGTTATTCGCATCAAATACCGCAACGGATTTGGATTGAATTTATTTACCATTGAAATAAGAAATTTCAAACAATTTTTTTTTGGTGCAAAAAAAAAACTTTTCGATAATTAATTAATTGCATTCAGCAAAATGGCATTGACATTAAGTTCGATAACATCCAAATTGAAATTCTCATCAACGGATACATTGAATTCAGCTGATCGTGCTTATGTAAATGAATTTCTTCGTGTTACAAATGATGGTCATCATCATTTAACAATCGATAATGATAATGATCGATCTAAAAATCATACATATGATTTACAATTTCATCAAAAAAAGGAACAAATTCTACGTCAACAACGATTATTACGACAACAACAACGACATAATTGTATATGGTCAATGATTGTCATTCATAATCATTATAATCATAATGACCATTGCTATATGGTTATTTCCACCGACAAATGTACGCGATGAACATTATGTACAATATTTTTCCATTTTAATATCAACAATGGCAGCCATTTGTCTAATTATTTTAGTCGGAGGTTTTTTCATTCGACAACTACAACGTTGGCGACGTGATAACAATCAAGAATCTCAGCAGCAGCAGCAGCAGCAACAACAACAACAACAGAATCAGCAACCTTAGAAAAAATCCGAATCTGAATGTCATGGAATCAAAAAATTGTCTCTCAAATCTTCACAGTATTATTACAAGTGGCAAGAATAAAAAAAAATAAATTTATCATTTCGTCATTCATTCGAGATCGATTTGAATTCCATCATCATCATCATCATCATCATCATTATTATTATGTAATTGAAACTTAATGGTTATTACGACCTTCGTATACGACACATCATTATTTTTCAAAATCATTATTTTATCCGGTCACCACAAAATAAAAACATTTTTTTTGTTGTTGTTTTATTCTCGAAAATTCAGGATAGAAATTCTCTGAATTTTTTTTTGACAAAAGTTTTGCTATTTTTATCATATTTTTTCCCATTCCCAAGATTCAGTATCATCTTTGGACTTTTTGTATTTTATTTTTCTCGGTTAATGTTTTATGATGATGATGTTTACCGAAATTTATTTTGCGTGCACTATTTTTATTCATTGTTAACATTACCGAATTTCTGTGTGTCTGTGTGTGTGTCACCAGGTATCTGTTGCTACTGATAATAAACTTTTCTTCAAGAATCTATGCCAGCAACATCACAATGATGATGATGGCCATTATATTATTATGGAAATTTATGTCCGATAATCACGAACATTAAAAAAAAAGAAAATTATACAAAAAACAGAAAACTAAAAAAAAAATCCATTGTGACAGATGGAATAGAAACATGGAAATTTTTTTTCCCACATTATTATTATGATGGTCCTAAGTGAAAATGCAATGCAAAAAAAACTAGAATTTGAATTTGTCAAAATATCAACGATGCCATATGTATGTATGTGGCGAAAATATCATTTCGTTTCAAATGAGTAACTGATTCAAACTGATTCTTTGGAATTTTATTTTCATTTTTGTCCTTTTTTTCCAATACTCAATTCATCCGGTTTTTTGTCAAAAAAAAAATTTGTATTTGCATTCAAATATCTCCACCGGATGGAATAATAAAAATATATACGTTTGATGATGATGATGATGACAATGACAATTTTTAATAACATTTTCCATTGAATTGAAATGTTTTTTTTTGAAATTTTTAAAATTTTCATACATCAAATCAAATTGGAGAAGGGAAAGCAAAAAAAAAGGATATCCGAAAAGTGGAAATTTCGATCGAAATGGAATGTGTTGTCCGAATTTTTTTTTTTTTTTTCATGAATGTTTCATTTTTTTTTGAATGATGTAAACTACAAATTTTATTCTGTTGTTGTTGTTTACATCTATATTGTATTTGAATTGAAATTAATATTTTTGCCGATTCATCATCAGTGTGTGTGTGTGTGTGTGTATGCGTGATTGACAATAACGTTACGTGACTTTGATCATTTCAAAATAGAGAAAAAAAAATGAAATGAAATTTTTTCTGTCGTTCTGTCATTATTTTTCCATTTTGTTTCAATTTTGTTGTTGTTGCTGCTGTTGTTGTTGTTGTTGTTATTGTAGTATTTCATTCACATTCGTGACTTTATAAAGGTCGAATCTTCTATTGGATTTTTTATCTTTGTTTGTTTGTTATTCTTTTTCATTTTCTTTTTCTTATTCTTAAAACTTTTTCTTGTTCGACAACAAATAGAAATTCTATTTTGCCTTTAATGGACAAATGATGGCTATTGGATTTTGTTTTTTGTTGGACAAAATTCTCAGCCTTAAAAAAAACAATGTCCAAAGTTTTCTTTTTTCTTCTTCTTTTCTCTCCATAATACTTATCGAAAAGTTTCGTATATTACATACTATTAGGGTTTTATTACTGGTTCACATACGCAAAAGACTTGTGTGTGTGTGTGTGTAAGAATATTCTACAGATAAAAAACATTATGAGACGGAATTTATTTTTCATTTTATTATTATTATTATTATTGACATTTGAGATTCATTGAAATGAAATGACGATGATGATGATGAGTATGTTTACATGTGGTATGCAACAACAACAACAACAACAACAAAACTTTACAATTCCAAAAAAAATGTTAACATAGACAAACAAACAAAGAAAAAAGCAACAAATGTAAACAAAATGTGTGAATAAAGAATCATTGAAAAAAGAGAAAAGAAAAATTTCAAACAGAATCAGAAACGAAAAAAAAATATTCCGATTGCAAAATGAAAAATTCGAACAAATTGAGAATAAAATTCGAATGGATACATCCATGGTTGATCATCAAAGGAAGAGAGAGAGAGAGAGAGAGAGAGAGAGAAAGAAAAGCTTTTTCCAATTCCAGATGTTTGATGGACTTTTTTTTTCTCCTTAAAAAATTTTTTCTATTTGAATTCATCGATGATGATAGATGATAATGATTTGTAGAAATTTCATTTCCGTAGTTTCAAATTTTTGTTGCAATCATCAACATCATCATCATCATTATTAGTTGGTTAAATTAGCTTCATTTCAGTAATGATAGCTGTGACAAGAAAACAACCATAAATTCCATATAAAATTAGACCATGTAATCTTGATGATTGAAATTTTGTAAATGCCAATAAAATGATTGTGGTAGTCATTAATGATATTGTTATCGTTACATACAATACAGTGATCATATTGTTATATTCAATCTAAATATTGGTAATGGTGATCATCATTAAGGATTGGCAATCCCCAACAAAAAAAAACAAAGAAAAAAAAAGAATAAATTCATGTGGTGCAAGAATTCAAAAAAAAAGAATTAATTACATCAATCTGATATGTTTGTTGTCGTATAAACAGGATCGTATATGGAATTCCAATTCCAAGCAACATGTCTATATATGATTGTGATAGTAGTAGTAGGAAAAAAAATGAGAAATTTTACAGTTTCCTGAAACAACAACAATAGTGACTTACTGAGAACTGGACCACCGAAACAGGCAGAAATGGCCATTCTTGGAAATCCATTTTTAGCCATAGATAGATTCGAAAGAAAATCACCAATACTATTACCCCATGCACCAATAGTGAGACCGATCATAAATTTACTTAGATTAAAAATGACACGTATAGCATCCAATATATTGACCACTTCAGTAGCGATTGTATAGATCCATGAAATTGAAACAATAAATCTATAGATATAATGGATGGATAAATATACGAATCAATGAATATAAATGTTTTCCGGTTGAAATGAATAGATAGATAAAAACAAAAACAAAAACAAAAACAAGAAAACAAATAAAATTAATGATGTTTAGACAGACCCGAAATAAGCAAATAAAATATGATAACGAGGTGGTTTATCTGTTTGACTAGTGCACATGACCAAAATGAATATGATTGATGAAATGGCCAAAACAATCAAATGTAATTGATATGGTTCCATGAATTTTACTGTTTTTTTTTGTTTCATTAAAATTATTTTCAATTAGTCAAATAAAAATGGAACCAAATTCAAAAAACACATTTACTTTGAATGATGAATAAACAGATTTGTGGCGATATAATTAAATGTGCAAGATTCAATTGACGAATCCAACCTTGTTTCGGTAGTTCATTATCAACCACAGGTATAGTGATTGTATAGATCAGATAAATGGGTGCCTAAATGAAATTATTCTGGTGTTACAAAAAGAAAATCTACAAACAACAAAAAAAAAGACCTTGATAATCATATTGATCTTTGCCAATAGATTTGATTCACGGAAAACTTGATAATCAATTCGTGAAGCGGCCATAATTTTCGTCATCATCGATGCTTGAATCACATCTTGTTTCTGTTCTTTTTCATCATCATCATCAATATGTTTATTACAAATGAGAATTTTTTGTAGAAATTTTGCCAAATTTTTTCCTTCACCATTATTTGCCAATGGAATAGATGGATGTCGCATAGCAAAACCAGTGTCGGATATTGTTATTCCTGTTGTGTATAAAATTTAACAAAACTTAAATTTAGAAAAATTTCAAAGAATTTAAATTTAAATTCTTACGTCTATTATTATTGTAAAATTGATTTGGTTTATTGATGACTTCACCACCGATATTGTTATTGTTATTATCATTAACTGTAATTGAATGAATAATTTCATGTTTTTGTGTTTGTTGCATTCTTTCATTCATCGTTGGATCAGAAAATAAATGATACAATGTTAACCGTCTTTGTTGTGTTGGATCCTGACAATATTGTCGATGTTTGATACCTGATGAATAATGGATGGAGAATGTGTGAGAAAAAAAAATCGATTAATGTAAAATTTCAACAATCCATGGTGGTATCTTTGCATGACGTACGACATACGTCTTAGAACAACGCCTTCAAAAGCATCGACAAAATTTTTTTTGGCCATTGTTGAATTCGATGTTGATTCAGTGTTGGTTGTTTGATCATTATCATTTTTATTCACAACATATTTTGTTTGTCGATGAAGATTTTCTCTAGGCATTTTTGCACCATTATATTCAATTGCATGATTTGTATGTGCAGCCGCTTTCAATGATCGTTGTCGACGTTTATAAATATAACCAGATACAATAACAACAATTACATAGATCGAATATGTAATAATGAATATGATTGAATGTGTGAGAAGAATTTTTCGTGCTAAAAATGTTGACCAAACCAATGTTGTTGTGGTTAGATAGAATAAAATATCTCTCAATAATGGACGTTTCATTATTTCGAATGGTTTTTGTAGCAAAATACTGCCAACAACAACGGTTGTAACGAATATTCCTGCACCATATAATTGTCCAATGACAAGATTCGGACTGGCATTTGTTATGCCGATTATCGATGAGAATATATCCGGTGCACCATTGCCAAATGCAAGAAATGTAACACCCTATTTTTATCAAAAATTCAATAAAAATAAATTCCATAATTTTCATTCTTAAAATTTAAACATACCGCAATATTATCGGATAATTTTAATGATTTTGAAATAGAAATCAACAATGGACAAAGGCTAAATGATGAACGAAATGATCGATTATTTTTGTTTTTTAGAGAATCGATTCTTTTTAATAAATAAATATAAAAAAATACTTACAAATCATCTGCATTCGTACCAATGGCAAAGAATAACATGATCAATAAAAATACCAACAGAATTGTACTGAATGGTTCAGATTGCATATTACAATATGTAAATTGAATATAGTTAATAAAACCATCATCATCGATACATTCAAGTACGGTACGTGTAAAATTACATTGATGACTAATACTGCATAGATTATTTACATCACCACACTATTTTATTATTAATGATGATAAAAATCCAATCATTTGCAATTATCGATTTTTTTCGAATAATAATCGTTACTTACATTCGAATGGATGGTCCAATTGTATGATGATCGATTCATTCTCGACAGAATTTTGTTTTTTTCGTGATAAATTCAATATACAATAAGAAGAAAAATTTTTCGATTTTTGAAACACAAATCAAATCAAACACGATCAGAATCTCAATTTGAATAAAACAACATAAAAATGTCTGAAATTGATTTTTTTTTCAAAATCGTTCAACTTGATCAATTTCGTTCTTTTTTCTCTCTTGCATTCACAATGAATTTGCTATTTTTTGTTGAAAAAAAAATTTAATCCAAATTATTGATTATTGCTGATCAAAAAAAATGACATCGACATTGATCAAAGGTCCTTCATCTTGATGAACGTCAAAAAAACGACTATGCCGATGGACAACAACATAATCACATTGACATTGTCAACAACAATCTCGATATTAGAATTGAATTTTTTTTTTTTTTTTGAACGAAATCCCCCAGAATTTGATTTGAATTTTGGCCATCCTCAAGTAATCAGCCCTTTTCTCATTTCTGGTTGGGTATTTTTAATTGAATTGATTGATTTTTGTTTTACATCTCCATTTGACAATTACATTTGATTGGATATCAAACAAATAGATCGATTTCAATCAACCATAACCGTTATAATAGAAAATCAATGGCAAGGTAATTCATTTTTTGTTCTTGATTTCGTTTTTTTTTGTTTTGTTTACCTTCGATGTCAGGTGGATCGAGATCCCTCTAAATGTCAATAATAATCATTTTATTTCTGGAAACCTGCTTTTTTTCATCTATTTGTCGTTTTGAAAATGTTTTAGATCCAAATTTTTCAATTTCAAGTTGATTTATTAGCTGATGATGATGGTTAATCAATGGAATTTAAATTTTTTAAAATGCTTGGACACTAACAGATTATCACCGATAAAATACAAAAACGAATCATTGAATACAATGTTAATTAATGCACATAAACATCGAATTATTATTTCTGGTATGCTGTTTTTGTTTTTTTTTTTTTTTTTTTTGTTAACCATGGCTCTCTCGAATTTTTGGTGACGTTTTTAAACTTGAAGACTTCAAAATTTATTCATCAAATCAAATTGTGTGCGTGTGTGTGTGTGTAAATGGATTATATTTTGTTTCTTGAAAAAAATGGGAAAATATAAATTATTTTTTTTTGTTTTGTTTGTTTCACGGTTGATCTGATATGGATGTCAGAAAATTTTTTTTTATATTTCAAAGTTGTTCGAAATAATTGTTTCTATATTTCATTCAAAGATGGCGCCAACAAAAAAGACGCTATTTGTTTATTTTTTCAAATGTGAACATGCATGTAATTCAGATCGTCAACATTGTTGATTGAGATGATGAAAAATTAGAATTCGAATGATAAATTTATTTATTTCATTGTAACAAAAGTTTTTTGGAACAAAAATACTAATCTACTTTTGCATCATACAAAATTTTTTATAAAATAATATAATTAACGGTATGTTTTGTAATAATAATTCTATATATTTAAAATTTGTTATGAAAAACATTTGTCCACAATGAAAACCGAAATGATTTTCATTGATCATTTGTATGGCAAAATTTGTTTTAATAGAATTTCTTATACTAATTATACGATTTTGTGATCTATAAGTTTGTTTTTTCCATTGTGAATGTGCATTCCAATTCATCAGATTTCGACAACAACGTTGATTACATGATGGCAGATGTGCAATACGATTATAGAGACCATTGGTCAATCCAAACATGGACAATACGATTAAAATAACTGTTAAATTATATAATGTTGTTTGATCTTGTTGGCTATAGTACAAACATGATGAAATTAATGATGTTTTTGATGCCGTTTCTAAATAGAATAAAATAACTCTAATCGAACGATTTGATTTGGCTGTTTCGCTATAAAGTTTTACATAATCATTGTGAAATCGTTTCCATGATCGATTCATAATCAATTCTTTAAGATTTTTTAAATGTGAATTTAATTGATTACGTGTTAATCTCATTAGATGATCAAGTTGTACTTTATAAAATTCAATAAGAAATACAATAAAATTCAATATTGTTGTAACACGGCCAATAACGTTGATAATTTGAATGACCAATGAAAAATTCATTAAAAGTGACAATATTGTTTGTAATAAAGTGAAATTGCCTTTTAGATATAGTGAATATAAGATGATGGAAAATAATGTTATTATGATTAGAATCATGATGATTATCATTCGATATAATGATTGAACAATTGTATTAAAAACAATATAAAAACGAATCAAATATGTTCGAGAATGTAATCCAATACGATTGTCATCAAATTCAATTGAATATCGTATAAATAGCTCATCCATTGATGACCGATAATTCATTAGTGAATAGCATGAATTTAACCAGATAATTTCGAAAATAATTAAAAATATTAACATTTGAATGGATACTAAATCAATACGTTGTGTATTCACAATACGGCCAATATCATCAAGATTGATAAATAAACCATTGTTATCATCGAAAATTACTATCATAAAAAAGATTAATTGTATGATTCCATTGAATTTATACCAAATCGTACGACGAAATGTTCTATATGACCATTGTATTTGGCCATATTGATAATCAGTCATTGTATAATCCATTTGTAGATGGTAATATTTCCAATGTTCAAAATTTTGATAGAAAATATGTTCCATTTGAAGATTTTCATTATTATTGAAAAATAATCGATGTATAATCCACATTTTAAACATTTTCATTTTAATGAATTGTGGTGAATAGAAAAAAAAACAAAACCAAAAAAAAATAAAATAAATTCGTTTTGTTTCGACTGTTTGTGTTTCAATGAAAATGATTTTCAATTTATATATATATTTTTTTCTGTGACACCTTGAAAAATAATGATTTTTTTTTGTTCATTCAAAAAATAAATGTATTTTTTTCATTTCAAAAAACGAAACAATAAACATGTACCCTAAAATCATGACTATAAAACGCAACTATATCGCAACGCAGATATTTTTTTTTTTGCCCATAAAGTAACTACTATAATAACTGTGTTTTTTTCCGTATAAGACTTGGTCTTATAGTCACGATTTTAGGGTTACATTTTTGTTATCGATTTTATTATTATATGATTACTATCACGTGTTGTTTTTCAACTATTCATTGTTTTAAAATTTATCAATGAAAAAAAACTGAATTATTTCTACAGAAATGGATATAATGAATGTAATTGTAGATGGAAAAAAATGTCCTCATGAAATTCTAACATTCAATTCTGAAATGTAAAAATTCAATTTCATTGTGAATTATGAATCGATTGATTTGAATTTTTTTTTCAGTATAATCATCTTTGTACAATCAAATTGTACAATTTTAGTCATAAAGGTTTTCCACAATTAGAATTATCAAAAAAATGGATTGAGCATGTGACTTTGGTACCTTACAGTCCATAGACTTTATATATGACATTTTGTTTGTTCATTGTTTTCCAGAATTTTTGAAACTTTTTTAAAAAATTGATTAGAATATTTCTCAATTCTTCTCTTTATTTTTTTTTGTTTTAAAAATTTTAATTATTATCAAAATAAAATGACTGAAAATTCTTCAATTAACTTCAAATATACAATATACAATGACAATTATCGATCAATTTGATGTTGATGTTAGACATATTTTTTTATAAAATTTAATAACTAAATGAAAATTTAAAATCAATAACTGGATATATTTGAATTTAGTTATGAAAAACATCTGTCCACAATGGAAACCAAATTGATTTGATGACATTGTTTGTAAAAATAAATTTTTTCGTATCAAATCATGTGATGTACGATTTTTAATAATTTTTGGCCACAATCTTAATGTTCGATCTGATGATGATAATTGATTTGATGTTGACCATTGTAATCGACATAATCCTTTCATGATTGATCGACAACAGTGTTGATTATATGCTGGTAAACGTGAAACACGTGAATATAACATTGTTGTCAATATAAATCTTGAAAGCATAGCACCAATGGCTGTCATATTGAATACATTTAAATTGGTTTGTCTACTATAGAAAATACATGTTGTAATTATGGATGATTTTGATATCATTTCCATATCGAACAATATTCTACGTATTGTACAATTAAGACGTGAAATTTCTCTATAAAGTTCAACATATTCATTTTGAAAATGTTTCCAGAATATTTTTCTTTTTTGTTCCGATTGATTTGTTATTGCATTCGAGATGAATAATAATTGTTCGAAACGAATTTTGAAAAATTCCATTAAAAATACAAGAAAATTACATGATAATAATTGATGATTTGTAATTATATTTAAATGTGAAACAATCATCGCTGTTAACGGTATACATATGAACATTTCAAGTAAATTAATACGGCCATCAACATAGAATACAAATAGATAAAATATATGTATTATTAGTAGGAAAAAAACCGATGTCATTACAATCCAATAGATAATGATTGCCATACTATTTGATTTCAAATAGAATTTAATCAGATACAAACGTTTTTTTGGCCGAAAATGTTGTCGATCATCATAATTCCAATTGTTTGCAAAAAATTCATTGAATGATGAACGATATTGTATAATATCATGAAATAATTGAAACCACATTAATTCTAATATAAAAAACGCTGAAATCATTTCAATAGCCAAAATGGTAATATGTTTGACATTCATCATATGTTCAATATCTTCAATTTCAATGAATATTTCATTATCTGGCCATGTAATCATTGAAAACATATAGATGATTGCTGACCATGCATTCAATTCAATGAAAATAGTACGACAAAATGTACGAAATGACATTGGTATTATATTTTGTTCATATTCAATATTTGTATATTCCATACGAAAACTATAACGTTTCCAATAATCAAATCCTTGTCGAAATAATTCATATATACGTGTTAGTTTGGTATTTTTTCGATTCTGAACTGGTCGTGTTAGTTTTGTTCGATTTTGAATTCTGAACAGGTCGTGTTAGTTTGGAATCGATTTGAACTGGTCGTGTTAGTTTGACTTGTATTCTCGATCGATTCCAGTTTTTTCGACGTTACCTATTTTAAAAAAAATGACTGGCACGGACTTAAAAAAATTCGCCATCCCTGAATGTTTTCATCGAATACGAATGTTTTTCTGTTGATTTTTGTGATTGAAAAAGTCCATGTTTTTGATTCTCAATCAACATTACTGAATGCATTCACGATTACAAATTCAAGAATGTTCCATTCAAATATCTGTGTGTTTGGAAAAGAAAAACATTTTCATTTGACAATTGAAAATATTGTAATGATAAAAAACAGGAAAAAATCATTATCATCACTATCATTATCGTCACCATAAAAAAAAAATTCATTTAGTCGACAGCGAAACAGCAAAACAAACCACCAATCGATATATGAATGATAAAGAAAATGAAAAAAAAACTTTTTTTCCATATAATTTATATATGAAATCAAATTGAAATTACATAGAATGGGCTGCCCTATTATTATTTTTTTTTTTTTTTGCTAGTTTTTTCTTTGATATGAAGCAACTTTTATCATCAATTGGAAATGATAATGAAAAAAATTAATAAATTATCTTACGATTACAAAATTTTTTCAGCAAATGGTACAATTTTATCTCTTATTTGGACGTATTGATCAATTTCTACAAATCCACTTCGATTGGACGAAACCGATTACAAAATACCTTGGATTATGAAAATATCCGTATTAAGTTATATTTATTGTTCATCAAGCGATTGATATTCGCACGCATCGTTTTACTCGTTCATTTTCTGCTCAACATTTTGGTCAATATCAAAACAGTAAAACGATTATATCAATATTTTGATTGGATTTCAATTGAACTTTGAAATGAAGCCCATTTCCATGGCATTTAAATTATTGGTCCTTTCAATGGGACATATTCATTCATCATATCCATCGTTACAACATTCAATTTGTTTTTGATCACATCTTTATTTCCAGAAGCTGCATGACCATTCGTCAATCGGGTGGAAGTGTTAGAGAAAACGATAGACGATGTCTCATGTTTGAACTATGTCTTCTAACATCTTTGATTGAACCCTAATCATTTTAGATTGAACATGCTTATAAAAGCAGATGTACATAGTGACACATACACTCTGACAATCGTTACACACACTTTCTTGGCTACACATTATTATTATGATATTTACATTGTTTCTTTTATCCACATCCATCTTTTCTTGTTCTGTTCAATAAACTAAATTCTCAAACATTCACGATTACAAATTCAAGAATCATCTGTGTGTTTGAAAAAAACATTTTCATTTGACAATTGAAAATATTGTAATGATAAAAACAGGAAAAAATCATTATAATCATCATTAAAATTATTATCATTGTCTTCACCATAAAAAAGCTACAATTCATTTAGTCGACAGCGAAACAGCGAAACAAACCACCAATCTTGAAAACTTTTTTCCATATAATTTATTATGAAATCAAATTGAAATTACATAAAGTTTTTTTTTTTATCATCAATTGGAAATGATAATGAAAAAATTAATAAAATCTTACGATACAGAATTTTTTTTCCGTATGATATTTCAGTATTTAACCAGAATTAACTTGAACGATTTTAGAAAAAGAAAAATTTTCATTTTCATTTTGTCAAAAAAAAATCTGAATCGATTCTTAGAATATTTTCGATTTTTTTCTCTTTTGATGAGCAAAAAAAAAATTGTCATTCGTCATTGCCATTTCGTTGAAACTGCCAAAACATTACCAGTAAAATTGTTTTTTTGGCTATTTTCGGAAATATTTCCATTCAAATCTTCAATGGAAAATTTGAATTATTGTCAACCAAACAAAACAAAAATCAATCGATTAATCTACAAAGAAATAGTGATTGTAAGTCTACCATATGCTTTTTGTTTATGAAATTAATTTTTTTTTCGCCACAATTTCTAGCATGAAACATCAAATAATAACATGGTGATAATGGCGAATCTGTTTTTTTTGGCCAGAATCGTTGATTTAGAATTCAAATTGCTCAATGTATGATGATTATGAAATAATCGAATTGTTTTTTACAGTCATAATCATACAACGATGATGACATTAATGATGATGATGATGATGGAATCGTAAAATTTTCAAATCAAACAATTCAACCAGAATGTCTGAATTATGAATGTTGTAAACAATATATTGTGATGCTGATCAAAGCGAAATTTCGATTCTGTTTGTAACTTGAAATCAATCGATTCAAAAAAAAATGTAAGAAATCAATGAATGAATTCATCATTTGATGCAGTTTCTTGGCCAATCCACAATATCTATGTAAATGCTATACAAAGAAAAAAAACTGAATCAAATGATTGCAATGATATGATTCAAAAATAGTAGGCAGAAACATAAATTTGGTCCATTTTTTTCATTTAATGTTATCTTGAACGATTCTTTTTTTTGTTATTCTCTCAGTACAATCATTGTATTAGTGTCTGAACATGGTTTGTTTTGTTTTTATTTTCTGTTTCGTTTCTTTTTTTTTTTTGAGAAATCCAAAAATATTTTCCATGAACCAATAAATCTTTGTATTTTGTTTTTGTTGTTTCTTGATGGTTCGATGACAATTTTCTATATTCATGTGCGTCTACACTAGGGAATATTATTATTGAATCAATATTATCTAGTGAATATTCTTCTCAAAATTCTGTATATTGAAACTATCAAATTGATCTATTCAAACCCTTAGAGAAAGGATATCGATTTGATATTTTTTTTTCACCCATCAACACATTTTCATTTATATGTTAATGTTGTTGTTGTTGTTGTCGTTATTGTTGTTGTTGTTGATTGATGATGATGTAACGACTTTGTTTCTGTCTTTTTTTTCTCTTATTTTATTTTTGGATCCAATTCCGTCTTAATTGTTTTGTATACTAATTGAATTTTCGTCATTTTGTTAACATTGATAGCAAAAAAAAAGAACAATTCTGTCTTTATACAATCTCTGGGTGTGAGTCGAACATTGGATTTGAGAAATATGAATTGTTTAGAAAGAAAGAGAGAGAGAGACAGAAATAAATCGCTTGTAATCGAAATTTGGATCATTTTTCATATTTAATTCATATATATATCGTAATTATGATAAAAATCGAATGACAACAAATATAAAAATGAACAACAAAAATTGTAGCCCGAATCATTCTTTCGAACATTCGAACATTTCCGATTCGTCTAGATTTGGTTTAATTAGTTTTAATATATGGCCAATATCATTATCAGACCAATCATGATCATGGCCATAATCGATTATCGATTGACATTCAATGGGTACATTTCGATAATGATGACAAGTACCGCCCAGATATCTGGGCAAATTGTTTCGATCAATATATTTGAATATTTCATCATCATTCCAAAATCGTAAACGTTGTTGTATTTCATCCGATAATAATCTTTTGAATATATTATAAAATGGTATAACAATTCTTGACATATCATAACAGACAATACGTTTCAATGATTTAGGACAAAATTTTGTTAATAATTTTGCACCCCATATAATAAAATCCAGATCAATATTAGCATAACTAAAACCATTAAAATCAACAATCATGGTTATACCATGACCATGGCTTCGATGAAGACAGCGTTCCATTTGAAATAGGATAAAATTACGAAAAATCTGTTCACGTAATCGAATTTTATAATAACATTTTACTCGTATAAACAATAATTCATTGCCATCATAATCTTTGCCATTACCATGTACGAATCCAATACGAAATAATTCAGCAGGAAAATCCGTTTCAATCAATCGTGGTAGACGTTGTTGTTTGCGAAATAGAAGGCCATCATTTAGAATTTTAAAATTATTAAACAATTTATCGCTACGTATACATTCTTCGATTGGCCAATCATCATTTTGGATCCATTCAATATCAATTGAATCATATAATTCAGGATGTTTTTCATATTGTTCCAAAACAATGGAACGAATTTCGTGAATTTGTTGCTGTTGATTTTTTAACGACATATTACAATGGAGATGATGATGTTTTGGATGGTTGTTATTTATTAATATAACCAGAAACAATTAGAATAAAATGATTCTATGGAAAAAAATGATGAAAGAAAAAAAAATCAAATTTCAATTTAATACAAATTTACTATTAACAAACCTTGAATAAAATTGAAACATTCACATGATGATAATGTAAACAAAACACACAGAACACAACACAACACAACACAAAAAATTTCTTTCATCTGAAAAAAAAAAAAAACGTTGGTTTATAAACATAAACAAATCCAAAATATACGTTGTTGTCAAAAGTATGTCATCATCATATCTCATAAGGCCAAAATTCACAACCAACCAAAGATTTCTATTTTGTTTTCGTTTTCCAATCACCAATAATGATCATCAAGATAATATAAAAAAATATACAGAGAGAGAGAGAGAGAAAAAACATTGATTTTGATTAGATTTTTTTTTTGTTGTCTCGCTGGTTTTGTAGTCAATGTCGGTTTCGGTTTGTTTTTTTTTGTCATATATATGTGGTATTATATTATGAACACAGGTATAATTAGATTTGCAAAAATAATTGACACACACATATAAATAATAAGAAATTCGAATCACATCTTAATAGTAAAAATAGGTGACATGCCTTTTTCATAGAATATCTTGTCATTACAATTTTTTTTTTGATCAAGATTCTGCTTTTATCTGATTAGAGTTTTGTCATTATTTTCTTTTTTTTTATAAATGTCTTTGACAGAATTTGTTTTTCTCCCTGATATAGTTTTTTTTTGACAGCAGTATTTGTTATGATAAATCATGTCTATTGTGGAATTTTTTTTTTTTTTACTTTTCATTGTATTCGACATATCAGAGCAGAATCTCCCATCATTTGTAATGGTAATTGTGTATCCAATGGTAATAATTCGGTTGTTAATTTAGAACTTTTATTTCGTTGTCGTTGTTTTTTTTGTTGTTGTTGTTGTTGTTCATATTCATACATTGGATCAAATAATAATGGATGTGGTTGTTGTTGTTGTTGATCCATTTGATACATAAATGATGGTCCAAAAGATACACGAGGTTTTGATGATGATGATGATGATGGTTGTGGAGGTGGTGGTAGCTGTTGTTGTTGTTGTTGTCTTGTATCAAAATAATTATTTGAATTATTATTAAATTGACCATAATAACAATGACCACATTGACATATGACCATCGATGGTGCCATATATATCGATGATGATGTATCGATAGTATGTGGATCAATATTTTGATATTGTCTAAAATATTCTTGATCAATCTGACTTAGACGATGATTACCATCTGACCAACGACGTTGTCGTTGTTGTTGTTGTTGTTGGTGTTGTTGTTCATTAATTATGATTGATGATGATGAACCAGATTCCAATAATGATTGTTCTGATGATGGTGGTGGTGGTTGCTGTGAACGATTTCTTCGTCTTTGTTGTTGTTGATTTAAATCAGGCGAATAATTGTAATTATCATAACCATTACCAGATTGATGATGATGTTGTTGCAGCTGCTGTTGCTGGTATTGATAATGATAATGATTATTTTGTAAATCATCATTATTATATAATGGCCTCGAGCTCATCATCATGGTCGTTGATGGATATATTACAGAAGAATCTTGTTGTGTTTGTTGTTCTTGTTGCTGATTATAATGATAATGATGTTGTGGATAGAATATTCGGTTAGTATAATCATCATCATTATTATTATTATTATTATTCGTTGATTGTTCAGGCACTTGATTCTAAAATTGTATCCAGGCATATAATAAAAATTCATTAACAATAGAATAAATAAAAAAAATTAGCTAAATGAATTTGGAATTTTTTTTTTTTGCATGCAAATATTTGAATACAATTGTTTAATTGAAAAAAAATCACACACACACACACAATGAATACCAAATGAGAATTATACAATTTACTCGACGTTTTTTTTTCTAGTGGAAAAAAAAGAGAAACAATTTACAACAAACAAAAAAACCATATATGCTTGACGGTTGCAATAATAATGGAAAATAAAATTCCATCGGGCGTCATTGATATATATCTGGTTTGTTCTTTTTCATTCTCATTTTGTTTAGTTGATTGTCCCGTGTGTGTGTTCATTTTGCATCAGACACATTTACAATTTCATTCAATTAGAATATTCGGTCATGGTAGTAGGTACATTTTGGTTATTCATAAAACAAACAAAAAGAATTTTGTTAAAGCTATCTGATTCTTGAATCTGGAAATCTATAGAATCATCATTAGAATTAATTAAACCTGTATATAGCCTAGTGACATAGGAAGCATTGAATTTTTGATTTTGTTTCTATTCTCATTTTGATTGCAAATGATAAAACTAGAAAATCACAGAATTTTCATCATAATGACGATGATCATTATCGACAAATTGTCGTTACGATTCTTTTGATTCCTAAATGGCATTAGAATCACATCCTCACACCACACACACACACACACACACGGAATGATTGCTATTGTCACATTGTCAGTGTAAAAAAAGTGTTTTTTTTTCAAGGAATCATTTTATAAAAAAAATAGTTACAAAAAAAAATCTTTTTGTTTCATTATCAAATTCTTTGTCAGATGAAATAATAGATGAATCATCCGAAATGGAATTCAGAGCCCATTTTTTTTTCTCTCACATCACACAGAATTTCAATTTCTCATCCACATTATTTTCATTTGGCTAAAGGCTACACTACAATGTAAAATCTATCAAAATTCTAGAAAATTGAATTTAATAATAATAAAAAAAAGAATGAGTGAACGAATAAAAATCTTGATAATTTTTCATTTTTTTCTCCAGTTATTTTGACATTGATTGATTCAATTTTCACGTGTTTAAATGCACAAATATAAAGGGAAAAAAAGAAAAGTGAAATCCAATTTTTCTATTAAAATTTAATTTTTCATTTTCACATCTTTTGATGGAATATTTATGACAATGTAGCGAAGAGAAAATAAAATTTTTCCATGAAAAAAAACTTACATCGTAAAATTGATGATGTGAATTTGGAAAAAGGCATGTTGTTGATGATGAATAATGATGTTGTTGTTGTTGTTGTTGTTGATGTGGATGATGTTGAGGAATTAATGATGAACAATTTGACGGTATCATTGATGATCCATGATTATTTGGATCGATTATTGGCTGACTTCCATATAAATTCATTGGCGGATGCTGATATTGGTAGGAAGCACCTGTTGTTGGTAAATCGTTTGAAGATGATGCTGTCATTAGATTACCATAGGCTAAATGACACGTGCAAACTGGTTTTCGTTTCTTTTTCTTATAATTGCCCGTTTTAACATTACTACTGGTATTCAATGAACCGAAAAAGAATGAAGGCTTTTTGAAGAAAAAAAGTAATCGATATTTCGTTTGTTTCGTTTCATTTTCAATAATAATGATATTTATATGCAAATGGAATTGAATATATAATCATTATATGATAATAATGAGAAAAAATGAAAAAGAAAGAGAGAAATAAATAATAATCAGTAACCAAGAAAATCCATTAAGAAAATCGAATCAAACACAAAAGAAAAAGCTATGAAATTCTACAAAGTAAAAAAGAATTAAGAATATCAATAAGATCATTACTCCCAGTCGTTTTAGAATCTTCTGCATTGCTGGAATTTTTTTTTTTTGTATCATTTGATTCTGGTTTTTGTTTCCATTCTGTTTGTTGTTTTATTAACTTTTATTTTTCAAGTATTGAATATCCAAAAAATATTGAAACCAGAATCCTAGAATGAATGGAGAAAGTGACCAAACATAAAGTTTGATATTTATTTATCGAATTATTGTTTATATAAACGCACACACACACACACACACACATGGAGACATGCAGAAAATTTATTATCTCAATTTTCATTGCATTTTCTATAAATAATATTTATTTTTCCGGCCAGAAATATGATTTATCTTTGTAGTGATGACCGGAAACAATAGCCATCATCAATGTCAATTTTTTTTTTCTTTCTTTTGGTCGTTGTGGCTTTTTTTTTCTCATATGGAATTAACTTCAATGTCAAATATTATATTTATATATGCTATAAAAAAAACATCAATTTAATTAACAAAATGATCAATCAAATTTCATGTCAAACGGTTTGACATGTTTTTGGTAATGTTTTGGACTTTTTTTTCTCTTTTTGCGCTAATTTTGTTCAATGATTCAATGTTATATATATATAGAGAATAATTGGATAAAATAGGCCATTTATCCGATATAAATTCCATTACAAATTTGCTTTTTTTTTGGATATAAATTACCTTTTTATTCGGTTTTTGTTGTTGATAATGTACTGGTGTCAATGAATTTAAACCAGTTTTTGAAATATTACCACTAGTCAATTCTGACATTATTATGATTTGATGTTGTTGGTTATAATTTTATGTAATTCAGTTAAATAAAAATAAAAGCTATTCAATTGAACAAAGTCAACATATTTCAGGCCATTAAAATGAAACGTACAGATTTTTTCAGTTCGCATGGTCCTGTTAAACTGATTGAAAAGAAGTTGGTATTTTGAAAATCAATAAGCATTGGTGATCACGCGGACCAACAATATTTTAATAGTTTCTATGAAGACAATGATAATGCGGATATTGGCATTCTCTTCCAACCAGCCGATGAAATTTCGATTATTTACAAATCCAGCGGAAGACGAACTGCAACCATTTTACCATATCAGAAAAAACTTAAAAAATAAAAGCAGTGTTCATCTTTGTTTTAAACCATTGGCCATCAAATGGTAATTTCAATTTATAGAATTGATCTATTCTGGACATCCATTCCTTGCCATTGAAATGGCGGTAACTGCAATGCAGAAATGCCGTTATGATTATCATGAATTGTTAATTTTATCATCACCATCATGACGATACCGCAAAATTTGCGATCTAGTTTTGTATCAGTGATATTGAATACAGATTTTTCATAAACGATTCTTGAATTTATCCAAATTGACAAGAAATTCGATCATATTGAATATTCAACGTTTCTTGAATCATTTGATTCCCTACAAAGTTTGAAATCAGGCAATTTGTTTCGAATCGATGGAAATTATGGCGAATAGCTCTCAAACTTTGGCAATATCGACAGCAGCCACCATTAGCCAATTGATGCAGTCACAGATCATTTTGTTGCTCAGATGCCCTGCTTTCTCATAGAATTCGTTTCCTGATTGATGCCAATATGTGATTCTACTAATGTGAGACACTGTTTTCATACCATAAGTCGGGGGTAGCCTGATCTTTCCGAAAAATCCACGTGTTATTGTAGTCGAGGGTTACTTGCATTCGAAAAAGTTGAAAAATCGCAAAGCTCCAACTGAATCGGAATAATCAATGTTTGTGAGATTTTTATCTGACAGTGTAAGAAACATCTGTTCCACTTGTCAGAGAACAATAGGATGAACATGATCACCATCAACGTTGACATTGGAAGTTTTCGATTATCAAGAAATTAACAAAGAAAATCAATCATTTTATCCAATTGACAATTATCATCATCAAGTTTCCATTTATATCTTGAACTGATTGAGGAAAAGTAATTTTGGATAGAGGATTTGGAATTTTACCGTCATTATCGTTGGAAAATGTTAGGTTATTCACTATTGGCTGGCATAAGAACTTTTCATCGAATGATTCAATGTTATATATATATAGAGAATAATTGGATAAAATAGGCCATTTATCCGATATAAATTCCATTACAAATTTGCTTTTTTTGGATATAAATTACCTTTTTATTCGGTTTTTGTTGTTGATAATGTACTGGTGTCAATGAATTTAAACCAGTTTTTGAAATATTACCACTAGTCAATTCTGACATTATTATGATTTGATGTTGTTGGTTATAATAATTAATAATCTTATGTAATTCAGTTAAATAAAAATAAAAGCTATTCAATTGAACAAAGTCAACATATTTCAGGCCATTAAAATGAAACGTACAGATTTTTTCTTTCTATTTGAATTGAATTTGAATGTTTCGTGTAAATAAATTTTTATTTTTAGTAAAAATTCAATTTTCACGATTCACAATATATTCTGAATGAAGTTATTTCCGGATATGGAAAGGTCGTGATTTGAAAATCAGAAAAAAACGCAAACATTGAAACAACACACACACACACGTAACACTTAATTTGGCACAAAATCAATGAATTTAAAATTTAAAAAAATTGATCACAAAAAAAATCATGCTACAATTGCGTTCAGGATGCTATGGTTATGAAAACACAAATGAAAATTTTTTTTCCTGATTTTGACCATCCACCATCCATCGTTTCATGGATTTAGAATTCTATGGAATTATTGCGAATGCGCTGTAAATATATAAAGCCAATTTTTAGAAATTTTCACAAGAATAAATGAATGATGATGCGCCTAGCAACTTGATGGCCATCTATAGGATGTATTTTGGATAATGATTTGCTTTTGATTTCTAAAAGAAAAAACAAAATAAAAAATAAAATGAATTTTCCATCGGTAAAGACATAATATAGAATCGGATTTATTTCAGCAAATTCGTAATTACACAATTATATGTTTATTTTGATTACAATTTCAAAATATGTTCTGTTTTATAAACAAGTTTTTTTATAAAATTTTAAAATCAATATGAAATTCATGATGAATAATTGTATATAACGAAATTTTGTAATGAAAAACACCCGGCCACATGTGAATCCAAATTGATTATTTGTCATTGTTTGAACGAAAAGTGATAATTTAATTGAATATCTGTAGATAAAAAGTTTTTGTGGTCTAACACCTTTTGAATCAACAACCATCGACCATTGTGTTCGGGCAATACGTTGTAATATTAATCGGGCACATTTTTGATTGTATGATGGCAGATTAGATATTCGAGAATAAAGACCATTAGTTAAACAAAATGTTGACAAAATTGCTATTATGATGAACCTGGTGAATACACTCCAACTAGATTGTTTACTATAGAATATACAAGCAGAAATAATTGATGATTTTGAAATGGCTTCCAAATAAAAAAGAAGAACACTAACTGTACGATTCATTTGGGCAGTTTCCTTATATAAACACAAATAATCATGTTGAAATTGTTTTAAATCATTTCGTTGAAACTTTTCAAATGGTTTTATTTGATCATATTGTTGTAATATTTTATAAAATTGTTCAATACGAACTTTGAAGAATTCAATCAAAAATACTAGAAAATTAAAAGAGAAAAATAGCTGACCCATTATTTGAATCACATGCATTACCCATATGATAAACATTGATACACGAATAATCATTTCAATTATATCGATACGAAATGATTGATAAAGATTATAACAATGGTAGGCATATATAATAATCACCAATAACAATTCTATTGTTACAATTGAATATAGAATAGTGACAATAGAATGCGTGATCATATACATATGGCAAAGATATTGACGAGATTTTGGTAGTAATTCTTTTTGTTCATCGAAAAATGATTTACTCACAAGAAAATCTATTGATGACAAACGATATTGTAGTATTTTATGTAACATTTTAGCCCATAAAAATTCTAGTATAGAAAATGCAATGATTAGTTGAATGGATAATATATCCATACGTTCTGCTTTCAGCATTTGTTCAAAATCAATACGGTTTATTATGTAAGAATTATTTGGATAGAATATCATAATTGTAAAATAAAAAATGGCTAACCATGCATTGATAACCATCCAAATGGAACGTTTGAATGTTCGATATGTGAATCTGATTTCGCGGTAACAATAATCTTGCAGTGAAAATTCCAAACGAAATGTATATTTTTTCAAATATTCAAAACCATGATCGAATATTTGTGAAATCGACATCTGTCGATATGGTTGATATGATAAAAATTTTCTTTAAAATGTTCCATGCTTATGCAAAATGATTGCCGAACAGAAATCAAAAACAATCATCAACCTGAAAGAAACAATAATGAGAATGAGAATGAAAAAAAAAACTTTTTTGGCAAAACATATCACTTGTTATGATGGATAGGTA